TTTATTGACATCTGACATTGAGTAAATAGGAGAAAAATCATATTTTTGTATGTCTAAATCGAATTTACAATAATTAATTTTATTGACTATGGTAGGGGGTTTTTTGTTGACGGCAATCTCTAGTGTAAACATAACAGAAACATAAAAAATGACTTTATTGGACCATAATGTCACTTTCCACCAAAACAATAAAAAATATATAACAGACAAAAAAAAGTATAATAATTCATTCGTCAATCGACTCATTAAAAGCTTATTATAGTTACCGTGGTAGTTATCTTGGACAATAGTCACACTTCCCGTGGATGGAAAATTAAACTTATGTTAAAAAAACTATTTAATTATAATTGCAAAATGTCAACTTGACAATATATATGGAAATAATTATAAAACACGATTGATATTATTGTAAAACTTTTAAGATATATATTTTGGTACTATAGTTCTTAAAACTATGTAAAATTGGCTATATTAGAGGAAAAAGAAACATATTTATCGAGGTACAATCATATTATAAAATTATATTATTAAATAATATAAATGTGAAAGTTTGTGAGGATGGATGTTGGTTACTCTCATGTAAAAACTACTGAACGGATTTTGATGAAATTTGGAATACGAATAATCTTTGACCCGTGGGAAGCGCCATTATACGCTGGTAACATATGTTATATTTACTATAGTGACGCAACGGAGTCGCAAGAACAAAGATCGCAAGAAATTTTAGATGTCCAACAAAATACGAGCAAAAGATTGCTTAATGATTTATAAATAATTGATAAATTCACGCCACTTTTAAAAAAATATTATTTTCTTGATACTGGCGTGAATTTTTCAATTTAATTAATAATAATCATAAATAGGATTGGTACGTAAGTGTGAAATGAATAGAAGTGTAATAGGTAATAGTTTAGCCATGCCCCTAACAATGAAAATTATATTATATTATTTAATAAGTAGTAGTATTGTAGCAGTTTCACGAAATACTAACTTTTATTTAATATGACTTCAATGTCGATACAAATATCGATATCTTGGGTCACGCCCTATGACAATCCGCCATCGAAGAATTTGCATTTGAAGTTTAAGCATATACGCTCTTCTTTTATGTCTATGCTAAATGCACAAGCCGTGCGAAGCCAGAAAAAAAAAGTATTGTGTAAAACTATATAATCTGTGGTATTGTATTAATGATGTGCCGATTCGATTATTATACACATCGATTAATGGATTATAGTTTTACTCTTAATCGATTAATAATCAATAATAATCGATTCACAACGATTATTCAACATTTGTACCCCAAAAGTTTATTAATGATTTCAGATATTAATTCCACCGTATTTTAATGCCTTCCAAGTTAATAAAAAATAGTTAAAAATCAATTTTAAGACAATGTTTACTATACCAGCATTGTGCATGCAAATTTTATAGAATTAAACTAGCTGTACCTGCGATTTCGTCCGCGTGGAAAGTAGCCTTAGTAATTTCTTATTACATAAGCTATCTGTCAATGAAAGTCCCTTCAAAATTGTTCTAACCGTTTCAGAGTTTAGCCGGAACAAACAGACAGACAAAATGTAAAAAATATTATTTTGGTATAGGTATGTACCGTGTAGTATACACGGACAGATGTGCGTTTAGTAAATAACGGTCAATAAATAATCGATGGTTAATTGTCGATTCTGTAATCATAATCGATAGCAATCGATAATTCAAAAAATCTATTAATCGATCAATAGTAAACGATTCCGCACACCATTATATTGTATTGTGTTTTCATCATTGTTTCATGGTGTTTTCGTTAGTTTTGTTTTGAAGAATTTCTTTTTTATTTTGAATCTGTGAAAAACAAAACAATTTGAAATCCATAGCAAACCTGAGTAATTAATATACAGCGTATTTGGTAATACCTATATAATCCCGAAACATGGCCATACAACCTAGCACAAAGAACACAATTGATAGGTCAAAAAACAATTTCATGTAAATTGATATTTTCATACAAATATTTGAACAATTTGTTTTCAATTACTATGCTACAACCCTGTAAGCTTACACGTGCCGTCCCGGCGCACTCGCTCTTTCTCTCTCTCTCTCTCTCATTACCTCTCACTCTCTCGTTTCCTTGAATACATTTTGATGTAGCCGACGCGCGCACTCGACTACGTATGAGTTTACTTGTAATTAAAACAATTTAAGATTAAATAGGTACGTACCTACAGCGTTCTAATCACTCTTTCAGCTTTCACTTGGCAACATTACCTACACTTCACCTCCACTTTATCAGTCCAGGGTCTCGATATGCCGGCCACCGCATAAAACACACATCTCCATTCGACTCGACACAGACCGTGTCGTGTTACTCTCGACGTAAAGTCATATCTTCTGTCTCGATGGAATAGGTGATCGGCCGGCCTACCTGTGGCACACTATGGAATGAACCAGTTGTATGTAACCAATTCACAAATGCCGCGAATCACCGGTAAGAAGGAAGACGTCGATGGTTTTCAGGTCTTCCTGACACGTGGCGCTCGTCATAACGCCGCCGAGCCGCAGCAAGATTACCGTCACAAGCACCGCCACACATTATCATCTCGTAATATTAGGCATTTGAGTATGAATTCATTGCACTGATCGCACACAAACATAATACACAGGTCAACAGAACAAGAATGAAAAACAAACCAAAAGTCCCGAAAGAACGAAAACGTAAGTTGACCTTCTAAATTCTGAAAACTCACAAGTACGCCGATGAAAGTCACGGACGCGACTGACGCGATGACCAAAACTACATAGGTTATTATTATTGCAACTCGAACACCAATGTACCTAAATCAAAAGTGTACCGATTTTGGGGTTCCGCGTCAAGAAATATTATTTATTATTAGACCTTTCCATTACAACTAACCTTTATTTAATTATCATTTAAACTAAGAATAAGAGAGATACTTAGATTATTAATATCATTGTATAAGTCCGTATTTTATTGTTTCGTGAAAATAACACGGCTTTATGAAAAAGATAACAAAACATCAAAGCAAATAATCTACAGAACCTTACTGACACATCAGAAACCCGAGTTTCTCAATACACATCGTCGTCGATTTTATGTCTCTCTCGCTCCTTCTTGCATAGACTAATGTGAGCAATGGTGCAGATATTGAACTTCAATCAAAGTATTTGCAATTTCTTTTTTATTTTGACTGTATTATTACAGAAGTTTTCATATTAATAGTTTTTGAAACACCGTTAATCACAAGATTAGTGTTTTTTTATAGTTAAAAGTCATTTACTACTAACTTTTTCTTTGTTTGGAAATAATAAATTCCTCTCAGATGCATATTTATTCTAGGCATTTATCTTTAGATTTATTTAACTTCTGTTATTTTTTAAACTAGTTCAGCACATGGAGTCGATGACCAAATACAACACAACAGCTGTTTTTAGGGTTGTCAGCGTACAGTTTTACTTCGAAGAAAAAAGCTGAATATCTAGGTCATGTGCTGGGTTTCAGTCTTAGTGATCATTTTTCTGGGTTCTATTCATCATACCGTATGTGCCATATTCGGGATTATACAGGTATTACCAAACACGCTGTAGAGGTACAGTATGTATACAAAAACCAAAGAGCGCTAATTTGTAAATGTTTTTGAGAAAAAAATGTTTTGTACTATCTTTCTAAAATATAATGCAGTTCCTATTAAAGCTTCAGAAAAAGTTCTAAGAAGTTATGTCACTATATTATTTTCCTGAAAAATTTTGTTCCATAAACTGCATTTTTTAATTCAAAAACTGTTGATTGTACTCTATTGTTAACATCGTATTTCTTTGTTTGATACTATACATCTCAGACCAAATAAAAAGTAAAGACGGAGTTCGCTGAATAACAAAGTGAAGCCGATTTTTAGCAATTGTAGTGTGCGTGCTAGTGTGACCATAGTCATTAAAAACACCCCAATAACTTAACGTTACGACGTTATAGAGTTAACGTTAACGCTATGCTATTTAATAATATAATAAAAATTTGTTTCTTAATATCAGCATAGATATTCTAAAATCTTTAAGAGTAGGTAATAATTATTGGAGGCCATACATTAGAGAGAGTATTTAATTAATTTTTAAGTTAAGTTTGAAAACTTCCACTATGTTAACTAAAATTTTAATATATAGAAAGTTTGAAAAATTTGGATATGAGTTTTGCTTTATTCGACATAACCCTTTTATAGTAAAATATATTATCATCGCTCTTAAAATGCGTCGAACATACTACTCTGCGTGAAGTTGGATTCCATGAAGGTTCATTTCGACTATTACGAATGACTGAAATCCTCTTCTCTTTCGCTTTTTGATGTCGGTTTGGAAATCTAAAAATTAATTCAAACCCGTTTAGTAAAAATAAAGAAGTAAAAAATTAAACTCGTTTTTTATTATTTACTTATTCTAACACTTCGATATCTGTGATCTGGATCTCTATGTAGCATTTTCAATGCAAAATTTATTAAATATCATTTCCATACAACAAGAAACAAATGCATAACGTAATTTGTGTTTTGTTAGAAATAACGCGTTATAAAATTAAAGTTACTTAATTTCGGGGTAAATTTACGTTTAACGATGGTAATATTTGGCTGAGGTTTTGTGTTCCAAGCATTACTTAAATTTTATTTTGAAATTATATAGGTACTGAAAATGTAAGTTTTCTCCAATACTTATATGTGAAATGTGATTCCATCCTGCTCTTAATTTTTGAGGATTGATTTTTACGACCTTTTACTACACAATTCGGCAGTTAGTAAGAAATTTTTGATTTTCTTTATAATGAAATGTTCCGCACCTTCTATAGTTAGACCATAGAGTTAGACTGATAAGGAAGCCGTAGTTTCGTTATATATGTTTGCGTGAAACTGTGTACGAATACGCCGAGGCGTAGTTTTGTCTTCAGTGCTCAAAGAGTAGTATAGTGCTTTACTTTTCTGTTAGGCAAAACAACGTCTATACTTTTTATTTGGTCTGAGCTATACATAGCTCGTAGCAAGAAGCAGCAAAAAAATTACAATAGCTGCTTTTTTTATACAAAGGTAAAAAAGTTATGAAAAAGCAAGTCTGATTATTGACTTCCTATGTCATTTTATTTTTTACATAAATTAGGTACTTCATGATTTGACATTTGGTCAAGTGTACAATTTTTGCAGGATGGAGGTACGAGACTTGATTCAAAGAGGAAACACACTGCAAGCCAAATTTGGTGTGACAAACTACAATACACCATTTGCATCGAAGATCAGTTCTGAATGTATAATTAGCGGAACAGCTGTCTTTCAGGTCAGAGTTATCGCAGCACAAGTGAACAATGGTCATACAAACATTTACAACAATTTGATATTTGTTAAATTTATGAAACTTCATCAAGATGATGACTTAAATTATATTATAAAGTTTTCTAGTGATGAACTAGGAGTTATCAATAAAACTTTTATAAGTGATGATGGTACATGGCATTTAGTACATGAAAATAAGAGACAGCAATATAAATTTGATGTAACTGTGCATATGGACATAGTACCAAGCACTACTTCATTTGCTATGCTCCATGAAGATACAGAGTTAACAGACTTTGAACTAAGGGGTGAGGATGGGTCGATACGAATGCATCGTGCAGTGTTGGCTTCAGCGAGTCCAGTGCTTAGAAGAATGCTGGGTGGAACCTGGCGAGAGGCGGCAGAGGGTCATGTTGATGTCCCTGGCACTTCTAAAGCCACTTTGCAGAATCTTAAAGATTATATATATTTACACACATTACCAGATGTTGGTCTAGAGCAATTACTGCTTTTGGCATCATACTACATGATGCAAGACTTAGAACAAAAATGTGTTGATAAATTAGTCAGTATATTGACTGCAGAAAATGCTTGTGATCTAATAGAGTTTGCTGCCAAACACAAAGTGACACGACTTCTGTTGGCTATTTTAGAATGTGTCCAAAGTGGTGCAGTGAAAGTTAACGAGATGCGTGATCATTTTCTTCATGGAAAATGAAGATTATTTGATTTGTAAACTGACAAATGCTCTCTGTTCAAATAATCTCCAAACATTTACATAATCCCAAATGATTTTGGAAGAATATTTGTATTTTCTACTGTTGAAACTGTATATTTAATTTCCATTCTCTAAGCTATAGAATCACTCATGTTTTAAGTCTGACTTTATTATTTTTATATACAAGCTTTCCGCCTGCACCTCAACCTGCATGGTCCTGTATATTCTACATCTAAATCTTTATTAATTGCATTAAAATATGTTGTGTAGTTTAAAAGATCGCAGCATACAGACAGCGGAAAGCTACTATGTATAGATTTACTTAACTATTTGTGATATTTAGGTTCTTGTACATGTATAATGTATATTATTATGACTAAGTACTGCCCTAGTAAATAAGTTTTATTTATTTTATTTTATTTTATTTTATTTTTATTTTATTTATTTTAAAGAAAACTTACAGCTGTGTTTAAGGATATATCAATACAATATATGCTGAAGGCCATTTAAAAGTTTTTACATATGGTTAAAAAAAAAACAGTGCGATAAGAAAAAACAATAAAGAGGTAATATACTAGGCAATACTTAAGAAATAATAGTTTGTCAGCATACGTTTTAACTGAATGGCTGATGTATTGAACAAGTCGATGTCTAATTTCTTCACTACGTCATTAAAGCGCCCGCTCGCCCTCATCGTATAAGCATTTAATCTATAATTGGTTTTACATAATGGTATATGTAAGTTGCAATGTCTTCTTCCTCTGCCACCACCATACGGAACATGTAAACCAATGCGCTCCAATAGTTCGGGACAATCAATTGACCCCTTCGCTATATTCAGCAAAAAGGTGAGATCGGCAATGTTTCTCCTCTCACTAAGCGGAAGGATATGGAATCTATGACAACGCTCAATGTAATCCGGGGTAAAAGTCTTAGTCCTATATTGCAAGTAACGCAAGAAACGCTTTTGTATTTTTTCAATGCGCGTAATATAGACATTATAGGATGGATTCCAAACTTGCGAGGCATACTCCAAATGACTACGCACAAAAGCACAGTAAAGGATTTTAAAGGTCTTCGCCGACTGAAAGTCGGATGAGATACGCAATATAAAGCCGAGTGTCTTTGACGCTTTAGCTACGATGTCATTTATATGAATGTCAAAAAGCAATTTTGTATCAAAGGTTATTCCCAAATCCCGAATACAACCCACTCTTGTAACATCAACACCAAGAGTTTATAATTAAACGTGATCGGATTGGGTTTGCGAGTGAACGAACACACATAACACTTCGAGACATTAAGCTCCAACTTATTAGCCGTACAATAGTCCTCAAATCTGAAAAGATCGTCCTGCAGAAGTTGGGCACTTGATTCAGAATTTATAGGACACAGAATCTTCATATCATCAGCATACATTATGATCTTTGAGTATTTAAAGCACGAACAAATGTCGTTAATAAATATATTAAAAAGCAGAGGTGCCAATAAGGATCCCTGAGGCACACCAGATGGAATTGGCATTGATAGAGATAAATAACCACCAAGCGCTACTGTCTGACTTCTATTTTGAATGTATGAAGTGAACCATCGAAATAAGTTACCTCGTATACCCATTGATTGGAGCTTGTGAAGTAATAGTAAGTGATCAATTCTATCGAAACATTTACTGTAATCAGTGTAGACAATATCTACTTGTGACCGCTCTGCCATTTTTTGAGACAGGTATTCACTGCATAAAATGAGATTAGAGGTCGTGGACTTGCCTTTTAAAAAGCCGTGTTGCTGAGAAACAAAAACCTGCCTTAACGAGGCGTATAACTGATTGTAAACAATTTTTTCTAAAATTTTTGCGAATAAACATTATTTTGAAATAGGTCGATAATTTTTAATGACATCTTTGGCCCCTTTCTTATGTATAGGAGTGATATAGGCTGATTTTCAAATTCGCGGCACAGCCCCTTCAAGCAAAGATCGTTTAAATAATATGGTAAGCGGTGTAACCAAGCTTACAGCGCACTTGATAATAAAAATAGCTGGAATGTTATCGGGACCGGCTGATTTATTAAGATCAAGGGAATTAAGTAATTCCCCGCAATATCAGCAACAGATTCATTACATTCCTGGGTGATGCCCGAATAATCAGTGTGTGTGCTATTAAGAAACGTTGAATGGAAATACTCACTAAACATGTTACAGATCTCATCACCCCCACCCGAAACGCGTTGGTATAAATGCATAACTGCTGGATAAGAGCTACTATTGTTTTTTAATTTGACATATGACCAAAAAATGTAACAAATGATTATATATTATAATGTAACAAATGATTATATATGGTTCAAAACTTGCCTACTACATTGGGAACATAAAATAAAATAAAAAAACAAACACTTGTTGAGAATATTTAATTGTACGCTAAATTATATACAAAATATTAACATAACCTATTAACAGTAATAAAGCACTTCATTGTTATCATAGTCACAAAATTAGAATTGTATTATTATCATAAATAAAAATATTTTTGTTGATATCTTTTGCTAAAGCAAAAAACTGGTAGATCAAATAGTAACATAAAACAACACATAATTACTTAATTTTTTCATTGTTGACTATTTTACAACTTAATGGAGGAAAAAATTATGGAAATTTATGGAGAAAACTGGCACCCACCACAGCCTTCAGGTAAAATTGGTTTAAAAAACGACTATGAGACCACTAAATTCTATCAAATACCTAATGCAACTAAGAATTTTAAACTGGGCTGATGGAAGATTTTTTTTCCCATTATAAATATTAAGCGCTAGATTCAAATTTTCCAAAAATAAGTGCACAATAAACACACAAAAACTATCCCGTTTTTAAAAGCATCATCGGCAAAATTCGTATGCGCAGAGAGTAAGCTAAAGCCAATTGAAATATAGACTTAAATGCGTGACATTGACAAATCAAGAACAGCGATCAGTTTTCAAAACATGGTTCAAAAAGATGTCTACACTTTGATTTTCAAGGAACATGGTTGAGGTTATGAAAATATAGCTACTTCTCTAAATGTACCAGTATGGAACGTTTTCGAAGTACGAATTTGTGGTCTATGTTATATGTTAGTTTTTTAATGAATATTTTCAGAAAAGTCGCCACTTTAACCGTATTGTGTCATGAAGCCTCTGGTATCGTCATATGATGTTTTGAAATTGAACTGATCCTTTTCAACCATCATACATAACACAGGCTGTTTACATAAATTTTTCAGAGCAAAAACAGTCGATATTTTATGAAGGCAATTTTATTTAAATTTAATGAAAAAATGTATGACATTTTTATGACTAAGTGATGCAGAATACTATAAAGTTAATAAAATTTAAGAGGAATGTAGATAAGTAATATTTAAAAATATTTAACAATTTAACAGACTTTAATGTTTAACTTAAAACTGGTACCTAAGTAAATTATATAAACAAACGATTTCTATAATATATGTAATATTTAATAATACCTACGGCGTCGCATGCGATGTGTGTATACTACACTGCAATTCTATTTACATTTTTTATATTTTCCGACAAGGATTTAATAGACATTGGACTGCATATTGCACATTAATCAAGTATCTAGTACTTAGTAAAAATAAACATGTAAATATTACTTATCAAAGTAACATACATACTGAAATTGTTTAATGAGTGGTTGTTTCGACCAATATTTGTAAAAGTACCTATCTCATAGGTATGTGGGTAATAACAAGTGGACGAGGTCTTTAACTAACATACACTGAGCTCTTAAAGTACTGTATTATATATGGCTATACATATATTTTATACAAATAAATATCTTTTGATGATTTTTAGAAAGGTACCTTTCTAAAAAGCATCAACAGATATGTATTTGTACAATTACCTACGTAATGTATATTGGAGGCTACTCTGAAAGTGAAACATGCTAATTTGCGTTGTACGAATTTAAGGTGGAACGTCAATAGATGGAGCTAGTTGTTAAAAATGAAAATGTCTTTCTAGTTTTTCGCGTTAATGATTTAATCTATAGATTTAGCTGTAGTTTTTTGTAAATAACTGAATACTTTGTTAATGGTTTAAATAAAAAAGAGTTCCAAAAGGGTCGACTACTCTTTAATTTAGTAAAAAAGGTTTTGTTCAACTACTAAAATAAACTAAAATAGATCACTTCGTTAATTTTCTATATCATATGCGCAAATTTACAACATTATTAAGGACATTTTCGTTGTTAAAAATCATCAAACTAGAACATTAACGCCATCTCTTGACAGTCAAATAAAACTTATGCCCCACCTTATTTATCTACCAGTTTACTGTAAAACGAGAATCAGTTCACGTTATTGATTTCATTTTGAGTTAACAGCTGTCGATAAAACGGATATTGTCTTCATAGGTGCTATAGATAAATCAGGGAACGCTTTCAGATGCTTCTAAACGAGAACATCTCGAGAGGTAGAAAAAGAGATAAGGTTGCGGTACCCTATCTGCTTCTATACTGACGCATGTAAAGTGAAGTAGAATTTTAGACAAACTTGAATTGCTTTACTATTGGTGCTTTCCGCACTATAGTTGAGTTACAACGTATACGCGAGTAGAAAGAGACAGGATGTCGCGATCTTTCACCTCTTTCTTACCGAGACATCTGAAGGTCTAGCTTTGGTGATCCTAAAATACCCAAAAAATAGTTATCGTGTTAAACGTTTCCGAGTAGCTACCAAACTTTTACCATAATAATAACAACAGTGACTTAGTTCATTTCATTGGATTTAAATCTACTTTGACGTTTGTTCTCCTTCGGCTGATGAAGAGCTTTTAGGCTCTCTAGAATCTTCTAATGTTGCCATTATTTGTAAACCTGGAGCGTAAGAGGTTGTAGGTAAGCGGAACAGTTGCGCGTGTTGCCAGGCGTGTTCTCCGCTTCCTCCACTGATTTTGGCGATTACGGTTGCAGTGGTGTAACGACGCTCTATGCGTAGAGGATTAGCTGTTTACCGATAAATAGGGTGTAAACGTCAGGCGAAATTTGTACGTCTCTCAATATAAATAGAAATTTGTATGTTACAATGGTGCCAATAGGATAGTAAAAAATAAGTTGCGAATTTAGATCCTTCCTTATAGTCTAAGACACAGAAAAAGTAAAAAGGTTAGAATTATAACGTACTGACATTAGTACTAAGACCGCGCGTATCAGTTACCACATAGACGTAAAACTTCACCTATTCGGCACACGAAGAGAGCGATGTTACCATTGGCTACAAATCTTTCAGCAAAAGTAGTATATAATGATCTAATAATAAAGTTGATTTTACGCCAAACACAAGTATGTGTTACCAGTTATATTAAAAGTCTGCACAATTAATTTTGTCAGTCCTAAATACTATAATTGAAGGGAAAATAGTAAATTTGTTTGTGTGCAAAAGTTTAAAACACATTTTTAAATTACAGTACATAAACATTTTACACTTCTGTTATGACTGGAATAGTGAAGTGCCTTGTTATTAACAATCCGATGTCGATTATCACTTTATTTTATTTGTACTGGGTTAAGATCATAAAATGTAAATGTAGTAGCGAAAAAGTAACAAGTTCTTTAAAGATTTGCCAGTCCTGTCAGTGGTTAAAACAGTCGCCCGGATTGCGAAAGGTCGTGGGTTCGAATCCCATCAGAGTACCAGGGACAAAGTGGAGTTTTTAGGTATTTTTCATTAAACATATTTTCTAATCTAGCATTGTGAATGCAAACTTCATCAAATATAATAATTAGAACAAATTTTCACCTTTATCGAAAGTTTAAAATATTTGTAAAAATACTTTTTTCGGTTGTTTGGGTCGATTGCCTAAACAATGATGAAAATACGCTCTGTAGTAGTCAAAAAGTAACAAGTGCTTGAAAGTTTTTTTCCAATATAGCAAAATTGATCATATACAGGGAGGAACAAAATGACTGACACAGCCGAAAGTTTCAAGTTAGGTTACATGCAAACGTTCATTTTATTTGACAAATATTTAAAAATAGAGGAGGTGTAAAAATGGAGTAAAAAATTTTAAATTTCTAAGTGTTGACAGCCCTTTAACGCGCATGCGCCATATCGATTGTGCGCAGATTACAACGGACCGCGAAATACATTAATTTAATTTAATTATTTACCGATATCTTAATGATAGTCGATACTGAAAATGTTCAATTCTTCTCTGAAGACAGCTAAGCACGCTCTTTTGCATGCCGGTGTATGCACGCGCAAAACACATCACATTTCACACAAAACTAAACACAATCTCCACTAAACTAAACTTAACACTCAAGACGAACACTCTAGTATCTTATTAACAAAAATTCAATTAAAAATGCACTAGAACAAAACAAAAATCGACAAAAACAGACGCTTCGCAGCGGTGCGCCGGCGGCGGTGACGCAACAACACTCCAGCGCAAAAGGTCGGCGGCGACTGAGCGGCCAGAAAATACCGACAGAATAATGAAGCCGCCTGGCGGCTGGCTGGTGAGTGGGGCTTTGATGTCGAGGGACGAACTCGGTTCACATTTTTTTTATTCGTCTTTTAATATCACGCATTTTTTATTGTTCTTTTTAAATGCTATTTTAATAACATATTCCTCAATGTTTTTAAAACAAAGTTCATTTGTGTTAATAATGAATCGCTGAAAGATTTGTGAGTTTATCGAGTTTAATTAACGATCCCGTTGTTAAAGGAGTATTACCCCATTCAAACAATTTTTTTGGAGAACTGCTCTTTAAAATAACGTAGGTTAATGTTAGACTGATCTCTCTACAATAATTTAGGAAATTTTACACTCGGTTTCTTAATTGAGAATTTAAAGTTAAACGTCTCAAACTAACATCACTTAGTTTTCGTTTCCGATTTTAGTTTTTTGATGATCAGTTGATAGCAGTTTGATAAAACTAGGACTATTCGACTTGTGAAATTAAAAAAAACTTTGGTTATTGAGAATAAGCAGTAGAAATTTTCTACTTTCAAATCAGAAACCGGCTGTTAGTCTGTAAATCGATTTAAGCATTTTGACTGCCTTATTTATTGATTGTCTGGAAGAATTTGCATGAAAGCAGTCTTATAAATCACAAACTAGTTTATTTCGTTTTTAGAAATGAAAAAGTCAATGACCGATTAAAAATTTTGCCTTAGTACGTCCCAAAAACAGCTGACTCAGGGTTGAAAACACTCATTTTTTTTCAAAAACTTTGTATTTTAATATCTCCAAAACTATTTGACCTAGACTTATATTTTTTTTTACATCATATTAAAGACAAATAGTACTCTACGAACCTCGGGAGTGTCGGTCGTTCTGTTCCACCGAGTATAGTAAAAACATTTATTATATTTATACCATTTCGAAACTGTCATAAAAATAGATAAATAGAATATATTTTTAATGCAAGTATTTTTCATTAATATATATTTTCCAGTATAGCATAATGAATGCAAAATTGATCAAATATAATAAATAAATTTACATACTATTTATTTAATTACATATAAGCATTTAGCCACATATATGGTAGTGAAGTATCTTCACGTGAGAATGGCTTGATCAATCGATCGATTTTTTTATGTAATTTAAGTTTAATCAGAAGTTGGTTGCCACAGAGTTACAAAATCAAAGACTAGGTGACATTAAGTTCATTTTCTCTTACAGCACTTGACTTGAACATGCACAATTGCACATATAGATACAGGTGGCTGCGATCAGAAAAAAACAATCATACTGTTACCTGAACAAATATTTATGTATTAGAAGATTCCTAATGGATTTTTGTTGAAACATTAATGAGAGGATATTAAAAAAAAAAAAAAATTAAACAATTGAGATTAAAGGACATTGCTCAACGTCCATACATTGGTGGCCCCAGAGCCAAAAAAATATAGGAAGTAACTTATTTTATTGTGTGTCACTAATTAATTTTCATTATGTATTTATTATACGGCGACCGAGTTTTAGAACTTATTATCACGCAAAATATAATTCATTTTGAGGTTATAATTTGTTTGGAAAACCACCAAGAGATGGCACTCTAAGTACATGATATGATATTGATGTCTATATTGTCGAAGCAAAAAAACTCAACTTTAAGAAAATCGGTTTTTCGTTGTGATTTGTAAAAGTTTTTAAGTCAATCAATAGACAAATAAATCATTCTAATAGTTAAATAATATACCTATTGATAAGCTTAAAATTAAAAAACTATAGCTTTTTAATGGTTTACATCAAAAGATGACGCCTTAAATACATAAATGACATGATGTTAATATGTTTACGAGAAATATAAAGGTAATGCAATAGAAACAAAGTAGTTTTTAGGATATGTCGTATGAATATCAATATTTCTGAATAAACAAGAGTGAATTATCAACAGTTAATGAATTTAGATTGTATAATATTCAGTTTTTATGTCCTTATGTTTTAGTTGAAAAATCACCAAGAGATGGCGCTTTTAGTAAATTTAAGTTTATTTTCGGTCAATTTAATTTAATGTTTTTGTGTTCGATGATTTAAAGGTTATCTAATAAAAATAAATGATCTTCTTGATCTGACGTTTAAATTACATCCATCTGACTCAATAGAATTTAAGTACATTGAATGTGAATATTTGCGAATAAAAATGTTACTGTTAAAGTACTTTTAAATATTAATTTTGGATCGCAGCTTGTCCGTGTCAAATAAATATTTGATTCCAATTTAATAAACAAATTAGTAATTATTATTGAAGCATTAATATTTAATGGTATTGGGGCCATTTTCGGCGATGTCTTTTTGGGTAAATTATGTTTTATTAGCTTAATCGCGTTCCTATATTATAAATTAACCATCTTAAAGTAGAAAAGACACTCAAAGAAGATCATGAGAGAAAAATAAATGTCTACGGCTATCTCTAAGAATATTTAACAAAAACTTGTACAATTGAGTCACTTGAAAAAACGCCCTACGTTTTTATAGATTGTACTCGTATTGTATTAAGTTTCTATGGAAGCAAATATACAAATCTTTTCAAAGTAACTGTGAACTATTTGTCCAAATAAATTTTTGCTGTAATGTTAATAATTGCATGTAAATTGATTGCTTTACACCATATTAGAATTTATGTACTATCGATAACATTCAAACACTATTTCAATGAAGGACAACATTGTCAGTCTAAAAAATATTTGCATTTAAATCCCAATATACAGGTATTTATCCATTATTTATTACTTACCGAGGTAAAGAAATTCTTCATTTTTTTCAGACTCTTATTTTCACTACGCAAATGATACGTAATAATTGTACAATTCGGCATTTTTCGTATTTCGCGCCGCACTTCAGACCAAAATGAAATTGTGCAAATTCTACGCGAGAGGTTTGAGCAACGTAACGTTCATATAACCGTTTTGGGCATATTGATGGAGGGACGACCCCGCCCACTTTGTTGTTCTAACCTTTTTACTTATTCTGTGGTTTAAGAGATCGTGACAAAAATATGCAAGAGCTTTGTAACTTTAATCAGGGGTGGGACACTCCCTTACAAGTGACAGCTGACATCTTTACTAGCGCCATCGAACGGCAATTCCTGTAAACTGAAACGTCAATAGTGATGTTGATGTAGTCAGGCAACCAAATAAGGAGTTTGAAGTTGCTAGGCAACACACATGTCGACTTCAATGAAAATATCGAGAATATATTTTGAGCTCATTCATAGTCTATTTTATATCCATAATATACGTTTTAGAAAAAACTTATTTCGATAATAGAAGCCCTATCGAAAGATAATTGTGATTGTGTTACGTAATGACATTTACATACCTACATGCATTACATATTTACATACGTACCTTGGTACGTAAATGGTGAAGTCTTGTGTCTTGTTTGTTATGAAGAAACTATTGAAAAACGTTGAAAAGAACACTACATACACATATACTATTTAAATTATGCGCTTCGGCTATATTCGTCAAGCTTCGGCAATCCTAGTGTATTTTAAGATATCTATATAGAGTTGTTATTACATAATTAATGATTTCGCTTAAATTTAGATTAGGCCAGCCAGTTTAAAAATAAAAGTATACTGTGTTTCTTTTTGATAGAAGTATAGAAAGAAGAAAATATAGTTGTTGAATTGGCATTAAAGCTAGTGATATTGAAATAAACATATTATTATTCTATTTACGTATGTTTCATTATTTTTTTAAAAATTTTCCGTTGTAAAATAATGTAGTCATAGATTATGTCATACCAATATAATATATTGACATGATCTACATCGCATTGAAACAGTCACGCTATCTAACGGAAATCCCAATAAACCTATATCTGTCAACATTCTCACACAGTATGAAAAAAAAAATTTGATGAGTGGGCTCTATTTTCCATAATATATACTTTTACTCTTTGATATTAATATTTCAGTATGTTGAAGTATTAAGGTAAATAGTACATCACTCTGTACCTAGTGCGGAGATCATGGAACACCTGGCGGTGGCCGTTGGTACCTCAACATATAGCTTTAGAAAGTTCTTGCACATTTTTGTCACGAGCTCTCAGTCTATTAGGTAGGCAAGAAAATTACCCATTTGTAGGTGGTTGACTTTCTGCCCACTCTGTATATACATTACATTATGAGTAAAGGCTATTATAAAGTTAATGATTATTTCAAGGACCGCAATGCATGGAATTAATAGCCTTTGCTTTGTTCTATATTGACTAATTATATGTACCAACCTATGTCTACAGACTTTGAAAGTTGTATTTATTATTGTGATAATACATATTATTTTGGTAATGACATGATTTATGTAAATGTCATTACTTATGATAAAGAGCTGGTAAGTTTCTTTCGCTTGTTCTTCTTGTCAGCTAAAAGACGTCCTGAACAAGTGGTAGGGGAAAAAAGATTATGGACGATTCAAAAGTGCTTGTAACAAGTTTACTTGAATAAAGATATTTTCATTTCATTTCAATTCATACCTCCGATGTCAACATTGTCATATTGTCCGCCATCGATCTCTAGTCCCCATGTCACCTTCCCCCCACTGAACACAGCGTGGACTGCGCACACAGTGAGGGAGCTGAACACGTTACCAGAGCCAGCTGTTAGCCGCCATGACACAACACCGACCGTTTCGTTTACTACGAATAAACAAATATTAATTTATTTATTTGATCAATTTTGCATGTTAATTTGAAAAATACAATAATTAGAACAAATTTTCAATCTGAAACGAAAGTTTAAAATATACTTTTCGGCTGTTTATGTGGATTGTATGAACGTTGACGAAAATACGATCGGTAGTAGCGAAAAAGTAACAAGTGCTTGGAAATTTTATCAGTCCTGTTAGGGGCCGTCCATTTATCACGTGAGGCGCGAAAGAGGGGGGGGGAGGGGAGGGGGTTTGTCAAAAATCACGAAGCAACATAAGGGGTAGCGGGGGTGTGTAGTAATATATTACGTGTATTTATTTTTTCCTCAACTGCACGATTACTAAATCGAAAGGCGGCGTCAAAAATTAAGATTTTTTGTAGGTACTAAAAATACACGTGATTTGGGCGGAGGGAGGGGGTAGTTTTAAACCTCACCATGTATCACCAAGGGGGAAGGGAGTTGAAAATGCTGAAAAGATCATTACGTGATTAATGGACGGTTCCTTAGAAGGGTAGCTCAGCGGTTAGAGCAGACGCCCGGATTGCGAAAGGTCATGGGTTCGAGTACCATCTCAGTGTACCAGCAAGTGGAATTTTTAACCATAATTCATTAAAAATATTGATTTCATTTAAATATTAACATGTCTCCGAGATATGTACATCAAGAGAACAGGCATACCAACGATATTGAGGGTCTTATGTTTGTCAAAAAACTGAGTAAATAGTGATTAAGAGAACAAATAGTGGCACTGGAAATCATGAAATACTGAAATATTTTAGTAATTGCCAATTGATTTAATATCTCTAGTCGTATACGTCGACGTAACGGCATGCGCGCCAAAAAAAAAAAACAAAGTTATATAACAACATAAATTATCATATGAAAACATTTTAAAAAAGTGCATATCCCCTATAATTTGAGTTTTGTTGTATTTCTTAAAAAATATAATGTTTTCATACTCTTCCTCGCCAGATAAACTTGCTTCCAATCTGTCTCTTCTTTTCTGAAAATGTTGGTGATTTCGAGCGCGCCAGCTGACCACGTTTGTATAACGCCCGGTTCTGGCCCGGATATCCGGTACTCGTCCGCCACGGGGAAGTACCTTCAACATATATTCATAATTTCTAATAAAACAAAAATAAGCTTACCGTTCCAAGTTTCATATTTAAATAAAACGGAAGGATAATTTCTGGGTAAATGTAAGGGAAGCGGTTATAATTATTGGAATTGGAACCAAATATAATAATTTAAATTGCTTTAGGAAAATCTGAGAGTGTACTCGAACACTAGTTAATTAAATCGATACTTCGAGTACTATTCGTACGAATTAACGTGTCACCTTTTGTCGATATAAAGTTATATACATATAACTTTGTGAGACCTATTTACAAAATGTTAATAAGATTCCAAAGAAATGCGTTTTTCGATAATGGCAATAAAAATTGTAAATCGGCCCAAAAGTTTCGTGGCCTATCCGATGCAAATAAACAAGCAATCAAATCTTTCCTCTTTAAAATATGAATACAGATTATTGGAAAAAAATATGTCGAGCAAATAAACAAAATCTCCTATTCTAAGAGTTTCACTGTGCTAAATATTTTTATTGATACCTATTATATAAAAAAAATTTAATATCAATAAAAAGCATAAAATTAACTAACTTTTTATAAAAAGTAGAACCGACTTTAAACTTTAAAAAGGGACAATTTATACTTATTTCAAAAGTGACTTATTCAAGAAAATGCTATTGAAGTCGGTCCTCCATAATTTAATTAACATATATTTTTATTTCTTTATTATTGACAATTGCATTATTAATGATTTTTTGACATGTTTTTGTACATTTGTAATTAATGTTATTTAATTATGATAATGCGTTAATGTCAATACGGGTGTGAGAGTAAACGAAAATAAATATAGATTGTTTTTTCTGGTAATCTTTAATGTACTATTACCGATCACACTTTTATGCTTAGTATATTTGTAATAATCAGAGGTCGGAATTAGGTAGAGTTATTTATGTGCTTGCATCGAAATGTTGATATTAATGTGGACCTTCCCGGGATTTCTAATGGACAATCCCGTGTGATAGACAAATAAAACAAAGATAATTAACATAAATTTTTTATTACTCTCGAATACAGGATCTCGCCTAACGAGATGTCAATCCGCCATATCTAATTTTATTCTACATTTTTAACCACTACATTTGTAATGATTATGGTGAGAAATAAATAAATTATTATTATTATTATTAGTTTACATTAATCTACAAATAAATTATTGCAACTTTGGACATCCGATGTCGTGCGTGCAGTAGTTTAAATTGTGTAAAAGTAAATAACTTTTTATTTAAAAAATCACTTGATTTTTTCTGCTCTTTAAAATTAATCTCGGGATTTGAGGCATATCCACTTTATTCTTTCGCTGTATGAAATCAGTGTAAGTACATGAATAACTCTACCTAATTCCGACCACTGGTAATAATGCATAAATTAATTATGAACACGTTTAACGTGACTGCAGATACCACGTGACGTTTTCCAGTTTTTGCAACATTTTTCATTGATGCTCCGCTCCTCTTCAGCATTTGTCTAGATAGACAAATGGCGGACTTAGTGCCAAAGAGCCATTTCCAGTCAACCAGTACATTTAGTATACATATACCTATAAAAATTATTTGCTGTTCGGTAAAACTCGAGCACTTAACTGATTTTCGTTTTAAAATGTTTGTCATAGTTCAGGGAAGGTTTAAACGGTGACATATGAAGTACACCGGGTTATCTAGTATTACAGTGTAGAATGGTATACATTTGATAGTATACCGTATAAATATATTGCCCGGTTTGGTGAACAGGAACGTATGTCGGGGTGTTAGTCTGCCCGTCTCGCCGCGTTCCATCTTCCAAACCGTCGACCCGGATATACGACCATGCCTCTCACTGTCACCCGGCTTTCTAGAAATAATAAATAAAATTATGTGTACTGGAACAAAAAGTTTAACAACATTAATAAAATAAAAAGGATTATGAGGAGGTAAAAAAAAGAAATTCTATTGAAAACTGTTAGTCAGATAATAGAAAAATATTACATACATGTTGTTTTGCTCCAATTTAACAAGAGATGGTTTGGATGAAAAGCATTAAAATTAATGGAAAGTTCGCTACATCACAACTATGTATAAAATGTTGAAAGGAGTGACGTCATACGCCATTTTAAGTCAATGAATTGCAGTAATTTTAATAAAAAGATTTTTTTTTTATTCAAATTATTGACACGTTGAGAATGACAATGTCACTAACCAAAAACGACTTTTTTTTACTTTCGGGAACATTTTTCTTTGTTAAGTATAAACTTTAAAATACAAAGATCCCTCTGGACCTGAAAAGCATTAGGTCGGATGTATAAAAACTGTATAAAAACAGAAATAGCTAAATGCAATCAAAATATTTGAAAAAGTCGTCTGATCCGACTTTATGCATGACTGTTGCTCATGAGTAAAAAGGCACAAACATACAAGAGTTAATTTGCCGGAAAGAGAAAAAAGAGTGTAGCAACGTTATGGCGATAAGTGATTTTAGCTGGTTCTGCACATCCGACCTAATGCTTTTCAGGTCCAGCCCTGTGAACGTAGTTTGCATAGAAACTGCTAGGTGACGATACGTCGTTTAAAGGGGCGGATTACAATTTCTTGAAGTTTAAACGCTCATTACTGAAATTCGCATTTTTTGCATTTTGTCACTATCGTTCTCTGCGTACGATATGTGTCTAATATTCTTCAAATAATCTACCAAACGGACAGTCAAATAAAAAATTTGTTATCATCCTTATTCTTCTGTTGCATGCAGTTAATTATCGTAAACATTTTAGGTTCTGCATCTGCGCGAGCGTAATAGCAATATAATTGCGCACGAGTGAAAGAGATATGTAGTGCCGGGTAATTCTAAGATATTCTCTCTGCTCGGCGATTATCAGTTGATGTATCAAGTTTGTGTGTGTGTGTGTCACTTAATATTTTTGAGAAGGTCACGATAAATCCAAAATCGATATTTAAACGAATGATTTTTAATTTTCAAATAACTCATTTCCCTGGCCTACAGATGAAAACATGTTACACAACTTAGTTATTATTCTATTTTAAGCAAAATATAATTTAAATTATCTTTAATGGTAGGTAGATACCCTTAGAAAAACATGTTACAGGTCAATCAATGTATGAAAAGTGTGCATGATTCTTTAGCCTTCTTGCGTTGGTCAGTGAGCAGTGAGACACATTAGTAATATCATAGTGTATAATTTCTTACCTTTCTCCTAGGAATTGTGCTAGCTCCTCAACGGTTCGTTTCGCTAGATATTTTCTTCTGGCGGCTGACACCTGCCGTTGACGCCGTTCACGCAGTAGCAACAGTGTAGAGATTAACTCTTCTTCAGAACATAGGTTGCGACGTTGTAACACCTACATAAAACAAAAATATATTCATTGGAACAAAAAGGGAGTTATGAAGTCACTGATGTAATTCATGTTTGGGTCAGAAAATCAAATTTTTCATTTAATTAAAATATAAGTCTAATCTCTCCCATATTTAAAAGTACGAAATAACAAAATTTTGCACCTTATAAAAATGTCAAATTAAAAGGAGATATAAACATTAACATTCGACTAGAATGTAATGACTGATTCAGACTAAATACCTAAATCTATGCTCTTTTTAAGGTTTACTCATCGCACACATCTTTCCCACGTATCAAAGTGGTTCTTGTTTAGACCACATGATGCTAAATAAAATTCTCATTGATAGCACTCGTCATTAACTCAAAAATCATCATCATCATCAACATCTATTTATTATCAAAAAAAAAAAAATCGTTTTAAAAATAGGGATGAAGACATCTAAAAAGACAAATATTGTAATTAGTCCGTCACTCAGACAATAGAAAAATCATCATCATCAGCCCTTTTACGTCTCCACTGCAGGGGCTCAGGCCTTCCTAATGGATGGTTAAGGAGGATGAGCCATGACCCTCCACGCTGGCCCAATGACGACTGCAAATGCAGCCGGGACCAACGTCTTAACGTGCCTTCCGAAGCACGAAGTAGTTCGAGATAATAATTTGGTCACCCATCCCGTGACCGACCCTTGCAAAAGTTGCTTAACAACAACGATCGCGGGCCGCGGCGCTTATCCTCTACGCCACCGAGCTAATTATAGAAAAATATTAGGTATGTATTTTTTGTTTCAATTTTATAAGGAATGGCTTACATAGTAGGCATTAAGTTTGAAGAGTGAGGTTTCGCTAAGTCACAACTCTATAGAAAATGTACAAAGGGGTGACGTCATGCGACATTTGAACTTATGTATGGCCGTAATTTATTGATTAGGTACGCAACAAATAAAAAAATGCGCGTTTAATATTCCTCAACAATTCGTATTAGTTATATAGTTGCTCACTTCTTTGTGATTGGTAGTATATCGCCATGTAACGTCTTGCAGGTCGTCTTTGGAGCACGCGATGACGTATGAGAGTTTCTTGCCCCAGCCGTGGCTGTACATTAACGGGGCATCGAGCCTACCCTCGCATGGATCCACGTGGAGCCAAGCGTTCGAGTCGTAGTCAAACACCTGGTTTTTAAGCAACAGAAGGTAACTGTAACATCAGTATACAAAAAAGTAACTAGAATGTAGTATAAATGTAATAAATAAGGTGTAAATTTATATAAATAAGTAAATAAGACTAAGATACTCGTACAAACATACCTAACACATGTAAATAAATAGAGTTGGAATTGGAAAATAAGTCGAACACGTAATAAAAGTAAGTAAATGTAATAGAATAAGTACATAAAAATATGAACAATAGAAAACTAAATAGGACTAAGATAGACAAAACAACAATTTAAATAACAGAATATAAGAACAAAATGTATGACTAGACTAAAATGTAGAAAAGAGAAAATAGATATGGTGAAATGAACGGCACCAAAGATATGCTAAAAAAGATTTTCATTAATTTTGCATTCACAATGTTGTATTGAAAAAATATTTTTAATGAAAATGCTTAAAAAATCCAATTTGTCCCTGGATTGCGACAGGTCATGGGTTCATGTCCTATCTGTGGATTTTTAAGCATTTTTCATGAAGAATATTGAACCTAAATTACGATATTTAGCAGTTGGCACATAGTTGGACTTTTGTGAACTGAATTTTATCAATTTGGCGACCGTGCTAAATCAGATTCATTCAAAGACCAAGCATGAAAGAGCTCGAGTTAGTAAATTATTGCTCACCCATCCTCCGATCGGCCATTGCGAATGTTGCTTAACTTTCACATTGCAGGTCCAACGCGCTAATCACAGGACACGCTCCTATAAAATGGCAACTCACCTCACACCATACGTGATCCGTGGTGTCATAAACGTATCTGGTGTCATATCCTAATGCACGGCACATTAGCGTGAAACAATTCGCCCACTCGCCGCACCGGCCGCGGCGCGTTCGCAACAACGTACGAGGGTCATTATACCGCGGGAAATTTACACGATTCGGACATCTGGTGCATGCGTATACCTAAAAAGACAATGTTTAGGCACCACCTTTATTACGTAGTTAGCTGTTTTCTTGTAAATAACAGTCTTTGGTATCATGTTTTCGATGAAATTAATCAAATATTTCTATATATAATAGTAGTGTGTTGAATGTCTCCTTTTTTCTTAGTAGGAGAGCAAATCTTATAAAATAGATCTTACATAAGTAAGATCACATCTTATACTGACACTTAGGGCATAATTATCGTCCAGAGTTGTCAAATGGAATGGAATATCGCTTTTTATGTTTTTTTTTTTATCACGGTATCCTAAATGGGATTGGTTTGATAAATGATCCCTAATGACTAAAAGGTTAAGGAATTTTTATCTGTTAGTGAAACAAAGTACTGTTCAGGTCATTCTGATGTGACTTTTAGCGTGAAAAAGACAAGAAGACTGTATAACTTCAAATTGCTTATAGAAAGATGTTTAGTCTATATTTAAATTTATAGTGTACCCACCTCAACGAGGCAGACTTCAGTACCACTCTTTAATTTTGTGGTAAATATGAATTTAGTATCAGCGGTGCATAGATTACATTCGGGCTTGTCCACCCACTTGAAATATTTGTGCTTGTACCAGTGCATCAGTTCCATCAACATTGCAATATCAAATGGCATGTCCACGGCTTCAATTTCACCTAAACAAAAGATTTTTTTTATAAAAAAGCTTTTATTTTTTAGTGTTTAAACACTCTAAAAGGAAACTAAATTTTCCTTTGAAATTTAAACTACCAACTCATAACCTCACTATACACAATTTATATGATCATAAAAGCTCGTAGCGCGATTTACTTGTGTAAATAAGCAAGTACCAATTCAATTACGTAAAATCTGGTAAAATTATTTTATTAAATTGTAATTTAATTAAATATTTATAGGTGTACTTAAACCTCGCTACAGGCTTTTATGATCATCTCTAGTAGGGGCAGCTGGCTGGTTCGCGCACCGGTCGGCATTGCACGCTCCTGCCTCGTCGTGGGGGTGCGTCTCGAATGTCTCTGAGGCGCATCCCCAACCCGCAGAGGGACCTGCCCTTTTCAGGGCGGGCCGAAATGGGGGCGAACCATTTATGGCCATGTATGGCCTCCGGGCCGATCTCGCGCATCGCCTTCCATGAGAGGGACATCGCTGAGTTTTAGTGGGTAAACCTGTTTCTTGTCTAGCCCCTTCGGGGGCGGGGCCACAGGAGGAGTCCCACATCACCCGTGGAGCCCGCGCAGGGTGAAGCGGGTATGCGTAACGCATTTCATAGCGTTAAAAAAAAAAAGGCTTTTATGATCATAAAAATTGTGTATAATGAGGTTATAAGTTGGTGGTTAATATTTAAAAGGTTTTTAGAGTATTTAAATAAATGCTTTTTTGAAGTTTTTTGCTTTTAATTTATTTATTACTTTTTAGTTATCGCTGGCTAGTTTCCTCAGTCTGTTCAAATCGTTCAACGCTTCATTATTGCAAGTCATTTGCTGGTTTGAGTTTACATTGTTTTAAACATTTTTATTAATGTGTTAATGAAAAAGTGATTTATAAATATTGATATAAATAAAGAAAAATCAATGTAGTCAAAATGAATACCATTTTCATGTTACAATATAATTTTTTATGCAGTCACTGAAAAGATAATTTCCAATAATGTTAGAATTAATCGTTATTGTATGGAACTATTGCAGGAATCAGTTTTATAAAACTGAGGTGCTGGTGACTGGTAGTATTTTTCTTAATAGTTGCAGAATTAAATACAGCAGAAGAAAGCAACATATAAATATTTGTTATAATTTTGTCTTTAGCTAAGAAGATAGTGCACCAGGCCTTTTTTCGTGGGTGGTTTGATTTGGTATAAGTTTTAATTTGTTGGTTCCTATTGTCTTTAGAACTCAATGGCATAGTAGTTAGCATGTTCATTCTATAGGGAAGGCCCATACACCAGCTGATGATTATCTTAAGAGGACCAGGGCTGTGGCTTCATAACTGATAGAATATTATTTATATATTATTGATTAAATAAAAGTCAAGCATCAATAAACTAACCATTTTTAATTTGACTTTGGTGTTCTCTGAGTCTGTCTATGGCTTGAAGCTGCAGTGTAAGTATCGGAATCTCATTTCTGGCCAGCCTCTGTAATTCCTCATCTTCATATTGAATCATATCATTAAATAATGTTTCTATTTTCAGCAGCAGAGGATTTTTTGTTTTCTGTATAAGGGATTAGAAGACAACATTCAATAAATGCAAGTAATGTAATAAACAAAAAACAAACAAGTGAAGTAGAAATTCAAAATGAGATATGATTAAGAATTAATTGTTATTTCAGTGTTTCTGTAAGACCTTAAGCAGTCATCCATAAATGACCTTAACCATTTTTTTAATATTTTCCTTTTAGTATATGAAATTAAATCATTCAAGCTTATACCTCCATTTCTATTCTGAACCTATGAATATCACACCATGACCATTATCTCACACTTACCAAGACACTCAGTGGTGTTAGTTCTGTTCTTCTAGGTTGTGCAGAACTGTTTTCTGATTGGGTATTTCTGTTTTCAAGCAATCTACCGCAACAGAATCCTATCTTCCTTTCTATAGTAGCTAGTGCTAACCTCAGCCTACTCAAAGTTTGCTCTTTGGGATATGATATTTTATTATTTTCCTACAAGAAATGTAAGTGTTATTACCTTATTAATAATAATTGAAAAGCAATGTCTTCCATATAACTGCATTTTACTAACTTTACAATAGCGTAGTAGTAGAGTAGCTCAGTGGCGTAGTGGATTAGCGCCGCGACCCATGATCGTAGTCGTTAAGCAAATTTCGCAAGGGTCGGTCACTGGATGGGTGACCAAAAATTATTATCTCGAGCTACTCCGTGCTTCGGAAGGCATGTTAAGACGTTGGTCCCGGCTGCATTTGCAGTCGTTAATACCCTCCAATCTGCATTGGGCCAGTGTGGAGGGTTATGACCCATCTCCTTAGCCATCCATAAGGAAGGCCTGAGCCCCTGCAGTGGGGACGTAAAAGGGCTGATGATGATGACTAACTTTAAAATACAGTTAGAATGCAGTTAGTAAATTAAGTGTAAATATAACATGTAAATAAAAAAATATTTTAGTTGGTACACCTACCGAAATATTACATGGTAAAAAACAATGAAACCGAATTATGTGAAAGTATATACATATAGGATAGTAAGTACCCTCATTTTAAAAATAAATTTTGGTTAACTTACTACTTCAAATCCAATATATTTTAGGTAATCTTGAAATGGTGCTGATTTTGCGTGGCCCTCCACTATATCGTTTTTGATTGTTCTCAAATCGTAATCGTGTGGATTTTCTAAAATGTTATTGATAACACCATGGAGTTCATAAAGAACATTGGAGCAGTTATCAGGGTCTCTTAGATATTGTTCCACTAGAGCCAAACGGGCCATATCTTCCATTTTTATTAAAATATTTATTTACTTAGTTTTTCACAATAAAACTGTTTTCTAAAGGAGAAATTTGATTATTTATCGCCGGCGGCGCTAAAAAGGCACTTGTCAAATTTTGATTTGTCATTCGCTGTGATAAATAATGAAGACTGACGTTGTCACTTTACTGATAATTAGTTACGTTCCTTTCCTCACATTGATGATTTTAATGTGTTCTATGTAGAACCTAAATCTTATTTTTCTGTTATTATTAAATAAAAAAAAATATCAAGAACATTTTGTAATTCGATTCTGTAATACGATCATTGTTATAAGGGATTGCATTTGAGCATTAATTTGAGCGGCAATTTTTAAATCCTATGTTAATTTGAATATTATCGTTGATTTTGTAATTTAATGAACTAGGTAAAGGTATCAGCACAGAACTTTTGGTATGTAACACCAAAAATAGTTAAACGAATAAACATAACATTAATACTAAAATAAATGAAAATTGTGTTGCTTTGTTAAAATTCATTTATGTTACCATGGCATTGGAAAGAGAAACATTGTTTTCATTGAAAGCAGAAAAGTAGTCTACCTTTAGTAGATGAAAACAAGGAATTCATTTGTGCAATATAATTATTATATTTAGCTTCCCAAGGATATAATAAATCTTTGGAAACATGATAGGTAAGCAATACAATTAAATAATTTACGTATACAATAAAATCAAGGGACACGGCAGTATTCCGCCAAAGCCCAGCTAAAAGACAAACGAAGACAAGGGCTACTAAGGTATTTTTCTTCAAACGTTTTGTTATTTTTTTTAACCCTCATAATTTCAGTTTGGATATACATATGTATTTATGATAACATTCATACTGTTATTTCTTCCAAACTAATATTATAAGAGTAAAGGTTTGTTTTTCGCAATCAAAGATTTATTGTAATGCAATAGAAGACTTGTTCACAAGGCAAGAGCTTCGTTAAGGTATGATTTTTTATGAGCTGCAAGTTGCAAGTTGAAGAAAACGTCATGTGGGCGATTTCTGTGGTTCCCTTTAATTAGTCGCTCATTGAGCCTGCAGAGATCGGCCACCCTCGTTTTGAATGCTGACCAAATCAAGCTGTGTAGTTGACCAGTTAAAGAGATTGAGGAAGTGAAAGTCGTAATATGTAAAGAAAAGACAGTGCCTTATTTTTTCTGCTGGTCACGCAAGGGATCTTACAATAACACCAATATCTATCAGTGTTTTTAATTAACAAGGTTTAGCGTTGAAGAAAATTTACGCTGAGACTGCATTTAGTTTAAACAGAGAATTAGCAAAGCTTAAGCTTGTACGAGGTTCTACGGGAGTAATGTTTACTCCTAGAAGGTAGTAAGTATACTATGAATTTGGACAAATACTAAAATTCTAATTTTAGCATAAATTTACCCTGACGCTAAACCTTATTTATTAATAACTCTGGTCATACGCATTTAATTTAGGCGTCTTTTTATGCCCTTCTCGGACACTGGGATAAATGGAGCATGCATTGACCGTGGTCAAGCGTATACTTTTAATCAAATAAAGCTTTTATTATCGTTTAAAGTCAATTTTACTAGGTTGAACCTCAATGCATACTGTGTTCAGTACTGCGTTTAACTACAATTTCGAAACAGAATAGCACTGCAGTTATAAGTTGGAGAAAGTATCTTCCGACGTTGAAGAACTTGGCGTCATAAATGGTTTGATTATTGAATGTTTTTTTCTACAGATTGTCCACCGGGATCCCGGAATTGGTTGCTTCATGCTCGGTACGTGCGCGGTGAACACACAGCATGTATGGAAATAGCTGATGACCTGCAGCGTGCCACTCAGAACAATCACAGATATGCTTATTTTGTAAAGGTGGCATTGTTTTTTTTCCATTTATTTTGCATATATTTTATCGTCTAACAAAAACAATAGCTTATTTTGCATGCGCTAATATCGGATTCGAACTTGACACGTGACGCAATCATACCGATTTAAAAAAAAAACATCAGCTTTGCTATTCTGTAATAAATTAAACTGATTTAAAAAGGTAATAAAGTTTTATTTGACCGAAGCTGTATGAGGTGACAGAGACAGTTTAAGATGAGTTTCCTAAAAAATATTAAAATTCTGCCCAAAGAAACTAAACCAGGTGGACAAAGACGCAAGTTTGACTAGCTTTGTTTATATTATTATTATGCTTGTTTAGGGCTTGGTGCTCATGGATACAGGCCGTTACCAGGAGGCATTGGAGCGGTTCCACAGTTGTATCAGGCTGCAGCCACAAGACCCTGAATCTTTGAAGGAAGTCGCCAAGTGTTTGTGCGTATTTTTGATTACTGTTGCAGTATTTTTGATTACTGTTACTATGCAGTTTAAATAATGCATGATGTTCTAGGGTTTATTATGATTTCTTCGACGATATGTTTAGTACTAAAGATTTTGACGGAATATTAATTCTTTTTTATTGCAGATTTCATCAAGATAGATTTCAGCTGTCTCTAGAAGCATATTTGGAAGCTGACAAATTAAGTAAACATCCGGATCCTGAAATATATTGCGCTCTAGGTGAACATTTTCATGAGAAGTATTTCATATATTTTTTTCAGAATGTAAGTAGCAGGCGTATAATTCACAATAACACCAAACGTTTTGAGACTTTCATTGATAGTTTGGAACCAAATTCAGATGTATTATTCTCCTGCAATACCAATTATATTTCCAGAACATCAATAATTTTGCATTTTTACATCTAGAATGATCTATTGTGTGTGCTTAAATTATATGAGGTATTTTATATGTGGATCATTGTTTTGTCATAGAAGAATAGAACCATACCATTTGATATTTTTATACTAATATAAATAATGAATTAAATAAATATAACGTCATCACATACATTGCTTAGATTCCAAGATGATTAGCTGAAAGTCCCCGTATTATGGAGTATCTGAGACAACGAAGGTACTACAACACCCAGACCCGAGACAATATAGAAAAGTTCATTTTCTACATTGACTCGACCGGGACGCGAACCCGGGACTTCGGAGATGGCGACACCTGGATACCGGCGTGCGTACCATTCGGCTTCGGAGGTCCGACTAAAAATCTAATCTTTAGTCCTGTAGTCCTACTTTCTTCTCCGAAAACGATATTTCCTATAAATATTTCATAACGTTAGTATAATGTACTCGTATAATTCAAGATAACGTTTTGCCATTCTTTTTTAAGAACAAGTTAACAATACAAGCATTGAATAGCTATTTAGTTTCCTTTTAATATGGAACTGTTGGAACGTAAAGATTCTAGAATGGTGAACCTATTGGACAACATTAAGTATGTAAACCCCAACGAGGTTGACCAACGATTTAATTAGGGTTACAAGAAACTTCTGAAAGCGAGCAGCGTGGCTCTTCTTAATGGAGGGAGGTTTATGCGCAGCAGATGGGCATTATATGGCTGTTGATAGTGATAACTATAAATGAAATGAAGCTAATCTGTAACATACATAGCAAAAGCTTATGAGGTATTTGTAACAGCGGAGTGTGCATGGCGATTGGGTGATTCTGATCGGGGAGCGGAGTGGGCACGTGCGGCGGTGCAGGCAGGCGGCGGGGAACGTGCTGCGTCGTTACAAGCACGTTTACTGCTTGCCACGGGAGATGTAGCCGGTGCTCTGGCAGCATACGATCAAGCTCTCGCGTAAGACGTTAGCTAAATAATTGACAACCGGGAGCTTTCCCCTGACGTCGAAAAGGGACCGTTCATATCATGGGATGTTTTTTTCAGCATTCTTTAACCCCCTTCACCCTTGGTGATACATGGTGAGGTTAAGACTAACCCCCTCTCCCCTCCATCCAAATAAGGAGTATTTTTAATACCTACAAAAATCTTAATTCTTAATGCCGCTTTTCGGTTTAGTAATCACACATTTGAGGAAAAATTGTAATATTTCGTGACTATTAACAAACCCCCTCCCCCACTTTCAAGCCTCACGTAATTAATGGACGGCCCCAAAGGTAATGGTCATAGCTTCGCTAAAATATGATGAAGCAAGTTGGAGTTCTACAAAGATAAAATACTTGCTCAGCGAAGTCATGGGGTGAATAGTAATAAATTAACAAAGCTGAAAAAGTCAGTTAGTTCACGAAAAATTACTAAGATATTTGTTTTACACATAAACCCAAATTTTGATAAGCCACGAACTCATCTATCGGGATTGTGGCTTGTGTTAATAATTGTACTTTTTTGGCAAGTTATGAATGCTTATTGCATTATTACATTTTTTCATTTTGTTGGCCTATAGTAGCGATGCATGTGGAGCAGATACACTAGCCTCTGCAGGAGCCTTGCGATTAAGAGCTGGTGATCCTCGACGTGCTTTCCAACTTCTCGGTGCTGCACTCGCACAGCAACCGACGCAGCATGCGGCAGCTCTAGCCCTCGCTGCTATGATGATGCAGCACCGGGACGTTGATGCTGCTCTATCAAGGCTCAAAGCGGCTTTAACAGCCCACCCTACTTGTGTGGCTGCCCATACTAATCTAGGGCTCGCGCTGATGGCTAAAAAGAAATATGTCGCGGTAAGTTGATTACAAAATGGTTTTTCGAATCGAAAAGTGTATAACCTTGACCCATAAATGATGATGACACATTGCACTAACATGGCCACTGGCCACTTCAGGCCAGTGGCCATGTTAGTGCAATGTGTTAGATGTCGCTACGTATCAGACGCCACACTTCTTTAGCCTGCATGACGGCAAAACAAGTTTATCTTTAAGTATTAAAATTGTGTCCATGACTATGTTTAATGTTAATATCATTTCTAACATAAAGTATACAATTGTATATAAATTGGGATGCTACTGTTAATATCCCAATTTCTTTGAATTTATCTCTAATTGATGTTGTTGAACCCAATTGATGAACAGATGCCATCAGAATGCCATATGACATTACGCTATGGAAATAACTTAAGTATACTGTCCTAGCAGTATCTGCATCTGTGAGTTGCCTAATTTTTCTTATTACAATGGCAGCTGAACTTAGTTTTCCTGCCAATAATGAAATGTGAGGATGCCATTGCAATTTAGAATTCCACCGTTACACCCAAGAACAGTTTTGAATTAACCAACTCGATTACTTGGTAAGACCATGATAGCGCAGAGATTAGCAATCTTTGATTGCAGAATTTAAATCACTTTTTTTTTAAATCATGGGCTGGGTGTGGATGACCAAAACTTATTAAAGGCACGAAGGAACGTTAAGGCTTAGATTTTGTATTGTACGTTTGTCTGATTTACAGGTTTTTCTGTCTAATTTTTTAGAGTTATCATCATTAAAATCACTAGCTCCCTGGAGCACAGGTTTCCCCTATCGATGGAATCAAATCGAATAAGAATTAGTCATGTGGATGTTAGAGACTGCATAAGCAGCCGGGAACGTATTAGCGTACCTCCTAAAGCTCGGCAGTGCTCAAGATACTAAATTATCGGTCATAAATCCTTTTGAAAGTTACTTAACGTCCGCATCGCAGACCGAACGTTCTTACAACGTCGATAAATTTGTCAGGCCTTAACTTGTCTCCAACGGGCAGCGAGTGCGGCGCCGCTGAGCGCTTGGGCGGCGCATGACTTAGGTCTGGCGTTACTCGTGTGCAGGAGACCTGCCTCCGCTTTCTGTAGATTAGCCGCAGCAGCTGCATTGCAACCTTCGCAGCCATACACGGTGATTATCACGTGACTAAACACAAATGACATATTAACACCGAAAAGGAAATAAATCGTAACTCAATATATAAGAGCACAGAGAGGTTATCTAAAATTGAAAAGATTGGTCAAAGTTTCTTTTTCATTTTAACTGCCTTGATTTTGTACTCCATGGTGCCGTTTTGTGCATTTGTAGACAGCAATGGTTGCCGGCATTAGATATAGGCAATAATAATAATTGCCCCACGTTGGGCGCCACTTTTATAGTAAGAGTTCATAGAAAGAGATAAAATATCGTGTATCGTTTATTGTATATTGCGTTACGATATTAAAACGTATATGAAAACAAACGAGTTAGAGATTTAAACTATAGCAAAAAGTAAGATTATTCGTGAGTGTTACGGATGCGATGATAGAATGATAAAACTCATATGAAGTCACTAATCTTTATTACACATGTTATGTAACACATTTACATTTTTTTTTTACTTTCAACGGCAGGCAGTGGGATATATGTATAAATAATTAGCCATCTAGGTTCTGCTGATCGGTGTGGCACTTGAGCGGTTGGGCGATAATCGAGCTGACTCTGCGTACGCAAGAGCCGCAGCTTTGGATCCTGAGAATGCTTTGATCAGGCTCAATCTGGCTGGGAGGCATGCGCGAGCTGATCGTCTACTGGAAGCCGTAGAGGAGTCTGCTGTTACCGCAACTCTGTTGCAGAAAGATGAGAGGCCAGATCCACACGTAAGATGTCTCTTTCAATTAATACTTAACAGCAAGTGGGGCAAGGGTATGGAAATGAAAAAAAAAACTAAGTTCGTTGGGTATTTGAAGTCTAAAACGAGAATTAAAAAAATGAAACCACAGATTTAATTTCATTTTATCTCTAAACCGACAAAGACAAAGAAAAGAATAAAGAGTTCCCAAGATTTTTTTGGTATGCTAACTACCAGTGTTGATAGGTTCCGATGGTTTTTTTTTATATTTTGGGATGTACGTAAGATAACATTTATGAAAACCCTTACAGCGAAAGTGTATGAATGCATGTGGTTAAATGGTTAGCGTAAGTTCGCTGTTGGAATTCATGCTTATTTGAAATTTTCAAGTATTTTGTAAGATAAAATACTATTTAATTTAATAGAACAAGATATTTTGGGGAAGTCCATTGCTAACTGGGAAACTATGATATCTGACAACTTCTATATCCCGTTTCAAATCTGCAAAATCTGCTGTGCACAGCCTGCATAGAAATTCAGATATATAAACAACAAAAAATATCGCAATAATAAAACTCCTTTTCAGTTTTAATGACGACTTGAAACTAATCAATGTTCTAAATTTAAAAATTTATATGGGTAATGCTTCGATCAATAATACTTCGAAGCGGTAATATCCATATGTCGCCTACAACAAATGACAATTTTATTGGAAGTTTGCTAAACTGGGTGTCATAGCATTGGATATATACCATGCTATATCGCCTGGAGTTTTTACTTTGATCTTTTTGAATAGTTGGCGAGTATGCTAGCAACCTTGCTCGCTCAGTTGCGCTCAGCTGGGGTGGAGTTGTCTCGGTTGCCAACCGACATACCAGCAGCTGAGGTTCCCTTGGTTGATACTGTGGCAACCCCTGATGAAGATTTGGCTACTGATGAAGTTTAGCTCAGTCTAGTTTTATATTAACTGTGGCTCAAAAAGAAACTAGTATAAATTAACATGACACCTGAAGACCTATTCTGAAATGAAATTTCGTCTATTTCGGAATAGGGGTGATGACTGGGTAAAAAAAAATGCAGTTCTATTTAGTCCGTCATTCAGATAATAGAAAAATATTAGATACGTTTTTTTTTTTACTTCAATTTAACAAGATATAGCTTAGAAAACAGGCATTAAAGTTGCGGAGTGGGGGCTCGCTACGTCATAGTTTAGTAGAAAACTTACCCTAACGTGACGTCATGCGAAATTACAACTCCATGTAACGTCGTAATTTTATGATTACGAAAAAAATACGAGTTTAATATTTTTTAACACTCTACCTGACGGACAAACAAACAAAAATTAGTCATCATCCCTATTACCAATATGACTCAAACAACAAGATTATAAGAACGAAATTTTCCGATTTTCTATTTAAGGATAAATAAAAAAGGCATTCAGGTGTCAAGTTATTTCGTACGAGTTATAATATAAAGAGTATAATATATATAAAGAGGTATTCTTGTTAAATAAAGCAATTGTAAAATGTTATACTCTTTATTAGTTAAGTGACAAAAACTTTTTTATACTGACTCCTCTCATCTGTGAATCTACATGATGAATTAATGTCCAATGTCTGCAAAGGCCTATCTATCAAAACCCAGGGACCCGAGAGGCCGAGAGTGGCTAATAGGTCCACGCAAGTATACACATTGCATGCATGACAAGAGTGAAATTCTAGTGAAGACATGACAAGCAACCCGAGACAAAGTCAATATATTCTTTAATCAATAGTTGTAGCTGTCTTACGTTGGAGCTGAGCCAGAGGCTGAACGCCCAAGACTAAAACGGGCTGTATTCTAGAGTTGAATACTCTACCTTTTATACCTTTTCCGAGGCAATAAAAAGAAAGTGAAACAAAAATAATAATTTATTTAGACATATTAGTAAATTAAAAAAAAAACCTTCTTACTTTAAAAGACGTGAAAAATATTTTTGTTCGTAAAAAAATCTTTGAAGTTGCGTTTAACATGAATAATCAAACCAATACTTACAAAATCTTCACCGACTTCAAAAAAAAATATGAACACATTATATGAATCTCCTTTGAAATGACTGTTATTTTTCATGTTATTATAAGATCAGTTTTATTTTAGTAAAGGTATCTACAGTAACAAACCTTATTTTCCTCTTGAAACCCATAGCACAAATACACTTAAACTACATCCATGGTAACGAATTGGCTTATTTTATTTTCTTTATTGATGTTAAATATGTCGTTTAAATATTTCTTGTTTTGAAAACAAATAAATAAAAACCTCATGTGCATAAACCTTCGAAAAAAAAACAATTGGGTACCTAGGAAAAAGATTAGCGGTGAAAGCGGGGAGTATATATTATAGAGATTTCTTTTTATATAAATGAAAACATGTAAGAAACGTTGAATATAGAACCTCCTCCTTTTCGATTATGAGGTCGATTAAAAAGTATGGCTAAATTTTGTTCTTAAATCACAAAACAAACAAAAAGGTTTAATCGTAACTACATCTTATAAAGTAAAATTGTATTGTAAAATGTAACAAAGTAATAAAAGATTTTGATGTCCATTCCAATGGACGCACGACTAATCACAGAAAGGAATAACTCACAGATTGCATTAGTTGAAATTGAACTAACCATACTAACTTATGTAATTCTTCGTTTCGTTTTTTTTTTATTAAAGCAAGCGATGTGGTTGCCGATTACAGTGGTTTATTTGATTATATATTTGACTCCAGTATGTTTAATCTTACACTATTTGTATTAAAACAAACAGAAGAAATAACAATTAGTAAATTATCAAAAGTTAAATTGCATTAATAAATATACAAAAACATATAGGTAGTTTCTAGGAGCGTGGCCCATGTGAACCCTAGGAAGTTAATACCTAGGAACTTGAAATTTGGTACAGGGGTTCTTTTTATGATGTAAGTGAGCACTAAGAAAGGATTTTTAAAAATTAAACCCTAAGGTAGTGAAATAGGGGGGCAAAGTTTACATGTATAGCTCGTTTTTAAAGAAACGTAGACTTAAATTTATATGAATTTCCATAAATTAAACGGTATTTGTATTTGTAACGGTGTTTGTAGTGTAGATAGGAAGAAAGTGAAGAGAAACTTATAAGTTGACCAAACTATTACACTCTAGGGCAGGTCAGCTGAGAGAATATCCAGGCTCATTCAGTTACCAGCTTATGTGATCGGCTACCAAGAATATGATACGCTTGATTATTCCCGTAATGATGAAGAGAAAAAGAAAACAACCACGTTTGACGATTATTACGAATATTATTCAATAAATACTGAAGGTGTCCAAACGCCGAAGAGCTAGACTTCAGAAGTTCCACACAAACTTTATGATTTTGTATAGGACCAATAATGGACATATAAGCAACTTATTTGTATTGCATTTATAGTAAATAAATAAATATACATTTAAATAAAACTAATTTTAAACAGATTTATAGCGTGTATTTTTGAAAAGTTATTTTATTGTTCTGACGTACTTTACATAAAGTAGGTACATATTTTAATAAGATGAACGAATGATAAAGAATGATGATTATGGATTTGATAACAGTATTACTTAGTTATTTAGCCCAAATTTATCCACCAGAAGGCATAACATTGCTACGATGTCGTATCCTATGGGTAAAGAGTTAGGTGGCAGAACCTCAGCGGTAAATTTCATTTCGAATCAACTGCCATGCCGCGCATTGTTGCTGTATTGTTATTGACGTATTTAATCCATAAATTATATTGTAAAAACAAATCAATGGGATTATAACAATTTAATATTGTTATAAAAATAACTTTGCAAAGTTTGATTACACACGAAGCCATTTTGGATAGAGGCGATAAAATAATTTTATTTCTCCATTTTAAAGCCATGTGGTTACTACATTTTATATTGTTTGCTATAATACGTTTTGCAGCAGTAAGTAAATTTCATCTTGGCGTATTTAGATTTAACGTTTAGACATAAACTGAGAGAACATTTGATTTTTTTATTTTTAAATGGATTGAGGAATGTTCTAATCTAAAGATGAATTTAAACACTACTGCATTAAAAATGCTTTTATTACTAATTACATTATTGAGTAACACACCTGCGATTCTTGCCAATTAACATGACACCCACAGGCCTATTCTATTTCTGAGAAAATGAAATTTCATCTTTTCAACTTGCTAATACGACTAAATAATATTCGATTTTATGATAAATTATGATGTTTGAATTTTCAGAATCAGAATGTAGAGGAACGTGTAGCAAAGTTGGTAGTTTTACCGCCCATCGTGATCGATTACGAAGACATCGATTTCAGAACATATAATTTTGATCCAAAGATGGAAAAATATCCAGATGTTTAATCAATATTGTTTTTTATTAATCCTATATATTACTAATTTTCCGCCGTGATAAAATGTATCCTATGTCGTTTGGCAAGGTCCACTCTATCTATTACCAATTTTATTCAAATTGGTTCAGTAGTTAGAGTGGTCGTCATTAAACCTTATGGTTGTGCAACCACATGGAAAGTCGGTTCATTTCAATATATTTATATTATTATTTCCTTCTTTGACTTTCCTATTTTTTTTATTTAAATATAGTTTTTATCATAATCTCATCCATGAGTATGAAGAAGAATAATGGACATGTCGCAGCCAATTGGTTAATCCATCTGATGTTAAGGTAGAGAAGATCCTGCAGCTCTGCCATGCTATATAAGACCTGATTGATCTGCCAAAATAAAACTCTGTTAAGCTGACATATCAACTTGGTGAAGCATTAGATAGAGCGTCGCTGATTGACCTGGTGACCTTAGATGGTAGGGCCGCAGACGTGACGTCTTATTTTGTCATATAACTATTAAATATTATGCTTATACGTTTTTTCTTCAAATATCAAACAAGCAATTATACGCGACTATGTTTGTGACAGTGAATTAAGGAAAGGTTTATACACAAATAATAAGACAGCCAAAGGTTATTTTTCAATTATTTATATTGAAATTATCACCATCATAATACCAGCACTGAAGGGTGTCCACGTTTAACGTACAACACAATAAAATGTAAAAAAAAAATAGTACAATCGACATTAAGTAGGTAGGTATACTGTATAAAATGTATTGGCAAATGAAAATAGAAAATATTGCCGGTCTGCGTTGGTGTTATAAATGGGTAGTAATTTATTACACTAACTACAATACACATTCTAAATGAATGATCGAGGAACTTTGTGATCTGTCGTTAGAGTTAGACAATTTGTTTGCGTTTGATGCAACACCCACTAGCACACTCTGGCGCTAACGTACCCAATCAAGAGTAAGAAACGGCACAATTACAATGTCGATCTGTTGCGATTGCGTTCCGAAGTAAAGGGAGCAGTTCATGAAAATATTTGTCTCTGCGCAAGGGTCCCAAAGGATTGTGCTCAAAATTTTTCTACTATAGGTACCTCAAATCAAAAAGGAATGGTTCAATATGAATTTAATTACATTATTTGCGATTTAACATTAAATTTGCGCTATTTATAAGCTTCGCGCGTGTTAATACTATTTTGCTACCAAATTAAATACTGACTTAAGACTTGCCTGAAGGCACTTAGGATCATTATTATTTGCTTTGTGATATAATCGGCAAGTCATTAAACAAGAAAAATATATCAAAAATTTTTGTACGAAAAGTGCATCATAATTATAAATATGATAATAATTTAAAACAGGAGAATTTCCGTTTGTTGACAGTAAAGTCCCTGCTACTATTGAATTATACTGGCGCCCAACTTGGTGTGATAGTATTATAGCGTAAAAAGTAGTTACATATAGTATTAAGAATTTATTTTGCAACTTCTTTAGTATTTGGTGATACCTAAAGATTAGGATGTAGGTCAGACCGGCAAAATATCTAATACGTTGATATAATCATCGAGAAGTGGATATCTTTAATATTGTGTTTCAACATATAGATTCAGATGTAAAAATATCTACAAACATTGACAATTAGTGACTCTTATTGCAAACAGAATAAATGATATTTAATTTCGTCAAACAGTGGTCGGAATATGGCGATTGTCATAGTTGTAATGTAATAAACTAGTTAAAACAAACAATAGCGAGCAATGTGGTATAATAATGCCTTGCCGACACCCCGTTCGACAAAATTGCAAATGTCAAATTTATATAGGCACATATTTTAGACGTGACATTAGCAGTAATAAAGAAAATATTGCTTGTCGTTTTTATGTTAATTAATTCCATTTAAGTGCATATTATAATAAGTTACAGACATTGAAACACAAAATATTCACGTTTTGTTAATTCATACATTTTACAAAAATTTTAAGATTTCGAGGCACTCTGTCGTGGAATTTAGTTTTTAAATATAATGCAACTCTTATAAGAAGGGAGATACTTTCTATCCTTTAAATGCTGTGTCAAGGAAATAGTCAGTAATTAGAAATAGTTTTCCCATAAAAAATGTATTTTATGGTATTTTTGATTACTTGGAATGTGCAGGTAACTAATGCAAGCCCATGTCAAATCTAAATATTTCATTGCGGATTCTACATACAAAGATAGAAAATATCCCGTATCTTATAAAGTTTGAAACTTGTATTTCATCCAATTTCTATGATCACCTACATGATTAATTTAGTGATGGGATGTAGAAATCGATTATGTCTAAACTAAAAATATTCATTGAATTTATATACATTTTTATATATAAACAAAAATAGATCTAACGTCGATTGGATTAATTATTTTGTTATAGCATTTTTCATTACATAATTATTTACTGATATTTTGACACATTACAGGGTTGGCAAACAATTTCACGGAATCAGTTTTTGGTAGTTTTTAATATGAATTAGTTTTTCACTGTTATACTGTTGAGTGGTTGAGTTTTTTTAGAAAAGATTTTTATTTGCTTCTTGCACAACCCCATCGCACACCACAAAAAGTACAAAAGTCCCTCATTTATGCCTAATTTACTAATCCATTATCATTTTTTTCGCACTACAACTGAACACTATCCGACCATCCCATCTATTAAATAAGTATTTAAATATTAAACATCTTCTATATTTATAAATGCACTTTTCGTTAAAAAATTATATCTACTATAGAAATTAATTTGCATAAGATTTATTTGCGATTTTGGCATCGGCACGACTTTATAATTTTATATTTAATAGAACCGATTATTTATAAAACTGATTCGGTTAAATAATGTATGAAATATGTAATTTTTAATCACGTATAAAAACTGCTCCACGAGAAACAGATACTATCAAGTAAGATGTGCTATTGATTATATTTTTATATTCCCTTTGTGACCTAGGGGAAATATTCGAAAGCCAGAAAGAATACTAGCCAGAGATTAATCGAGTCACTGAATCTATGGAGACCGGATTAAAATTACGGAAACTCGATAGTGAACAGAAGTGAGAAATGTAGTGAATTGTGCGCTTCGTTTTAAACACGTACAACTTAAAATGATTACTAATAAACATAATAATGAATACTCAAGAATACTGAAATAACGATGGCATCACCCCACTCACACGTCTGGACTTATAATAATATTTCTTTGGTGTTGTGTCGTTTCATTATTGATTATTCCATTGCTATTGGACGCTATATGAACGGCGTACTATGCCTACGAACACGACTCTGTATTCTGTGCTGAAATTTAAAAATATAATCTGGAATACAAGCCTACGAATACAGGCACAATTTTTCAGCACATAACACAAAATCACTAATTAATCGTTTTACCTATATTAAATACAAACTATATTTACATAATGCATAACCTATTTACACATATGGAATCATTGAGATCATACAATATTTCTTACAATATAAAAATGACGTTTTACGAGGTCAGCAGCTACAATGATTATTTAATTTAATGTAATACTTAGAAAAGACTGGCTGGGTATAATCGATTACATCATCGATGAGGTATTCGCCGTTAGGATTCGCTTCGCACCCTTTTGCATTGGGCAGTCAGTGTAATACTGCATTTGTTTTATTATAAAGTATTATTTTAGTGTATTTGAAAATTCGCCCTTTTCTTCATCATAATTAGTTGCAAACTAGCATTTCCTTAATTCAGTTAAAACCCCAGATTTTCGAATTGAAACAGCGACAATATATTTTTTTTCGTGAATAATTTATACAATTTTTATTGTAACTCTGCGATTGTACACTGCAGCCGCTAATACTTTCTACGAGTGTAGTGGGTAGCTAGTTAGGGGTTCAACCAAATCTTTCTTTCACAAGGAACATCAGTTTCTTCTTTCCTTTGTATTTGAGTTTGATCTCTTGTAATAAAGCTGCGAACTGATGCGGGCCATCGTGTGCCAACGCAAACGTGTCGCGAGCTTTACCTAAAACAGAAATAGCAGTAATCAAGCTTTCTATCAGTTATGCGAGAATGGCGCCCAACGTAGAACTGGATTTTGTGGTAGTGAGATTCATATAGATTTTAATAAGACGCCGGTTTAAATATAAACTTTTTTAATACTCAAAAACTGTGTCTACCTTATTCATGACGTCATATTGGTAAGAAGACATAACAAATGCATAATCTATTATATAATTTCTATCAAGCAAGAATAGCAATATCTATTAATTATAAATAGCAATATCTATTAATTATGACAAAATAAATAGAAGCCGTTTATTTGTGTGCGGTATCGTACATTTTTACTTTGTCAACACAATTATTAAAGTCATGATTCATTTTATACAATTCAAATAGTGAAGTGAATCAAATCTCAATAATTGTTAACAAAAGTAAAAAAGGTACGGGTCTGAAAGCGAAATTGTTTTGCAAATATTAGTGCGTCGTGATTCAGTTCATGATAGTTTTATGTACAATTGGTAGATACCTAGAAAATCGACAAAGTCTGCGTAATGTCGGGGCGAGATGTGTGCGAGGCGAGCATGTGTGGTGGAGGCATATGCTCGTAGCGCGGCCTCTAGTAGCGGTCGCAGCGGCGTCGGCGGGCGCGGCGGCGGCGGACGTGACCGCGAGCATCCCGCCGCCGCCACGCAGCATCGCCGTAGCACGTCTGACTGTACACCACAGAACACAATATCAAAGGGGCGTCAATAACAAGCCCGGATCTGGGCAAGTGGTGGCACTTGTCCCGGGCACCAGCGTCAGGGGGCCTCATCAATCATGATAACTTGGTACAGTGAAAAAAAACTAGATTCACAAAATGTCTTTTATAATCAATTCATATACATAGGCTACGATGTCAGGACAAAGAACCTACCTCAATTAAATTAACCAGTGCAAAAATATGGTTATCAAGAAATATTTCGGGTTTCTGCCCCGGTTGGAAAAAGTTAAAAAGAAAATATAGAGCTCAATCTTCTGATGACTTATATATGTACATAGTCAGTTTACCTTTAGTTATTATTTAGTAGTCAAATTATTGCACTTATCACAAGGAAGGTAAAATACTGTTTTACCTTTCTCCTTTCGATAATATAAATCCGATAATGTGTTGTTCCCGGACGTATGTTGTTATTTTACCTCATGTGTTCATAAGTTTTGAGATGAAATAAAAGTTGCATAACTTTTTTAATAATTGACTTATATTTAAAAATTTTCAGTAACTACATATTATATAAAAATATAATAATCAACAATATATTTTCTTCCAAAATGACCGCTCTTATTTTTAATATTGACCCTTAGACGATTTGGCCAGACATCAATGGCGGCACGAATCTTTTCTAGCGGAATTTGCTTTGCTTCTCGAACAAGGATTCGCTTCAGTGACTCCAAGTTTGGGTGGGACATTCGGCAGTCCCTGAGCTCTAATTCAGTCCATAAAGAATAATCTAGCGGGTTGAGGTCGGGGCTGGAGGAGGGCCACTTGTCCGCCGCTATGAAGGCCGGCACATTCTCCCTCAACCAAGTTTGGTGCTTTTTGCCTTATGGGATGGTGCCGAGTCTTGCTGAAAAACCCAATCCTTATAGTGAAATAACGTTTCACACAAGGGTTTCACATAAGCAGCAATGAACAACGTTCCCGACGTAATTTACTAAGAAGATCGTTTAAAAAGTGAACTACGGTTATAGGCCTTTACTGTAAGATCATATTTAGGTATTCTGTTCACTGAAACGTGCGAAATATTAGTCTACAGACCGAGTTTCTTCTGAGTGCAACATTTCGCCGAAGTCGCTCCCGGATGATTTTGATGTTCGCAGGCGTCCTCACAGAGCGTGGCTGACCACTCCTTTGGCGATCTTGCAGAGAATTTTTCTCTTTGTACCGCCGTATTGTGTAATAGACGAAGTGACGGCTTACAGGAAAACTTTTCAGCTTGCTGTAAATCTGTATCGGTTTTTTCCCGCTTTAAATAGCGAAATGACAGTTAGTTGCCCGTGATTGTTTCGGTCCCTCTTCTTCTTCGAATTTGCGATACAAACAAACTAAAAGTTAACATGCCAAATTCAAAATCGGTAAAAAAAAATAAGAGCCAGTAACATTGTATTTTATTTTTTTCAGTAAAAAGTTTGTCTCAAAACTTATGAACACACGACTATATCTCGTGCATCAAAAATTTAAATATGACATGCGTGTGAGCCAAAGTTAATATTACGAATATGCATCATTATCGACTTCGTTTACAAATAATTTAAATCTATATGGGTGCAGAGTTCTGTTTAGAAACTTCTAAATTTAAGATTTGATTAACCTATGTGGATACAGTCTTCATTAATAAATCTTTTAATAAGGTATCAACAGATGGCGTTGTTTTACATATCTAATACTAACCAATACAGGAGCACACTGCACATTCTTCACTAGTAGCGGCAGCATAGCTTGCAGCTCGGCTCGGCCTAAAGAGTGCGCTAACGCTACCGCCCAATGAATGTCCGCGATCGCCGGATGGCTGTCCTGTTCACAATAATCAATGTCATCAGATTAATATCTCCACTGCTGAGCCAGAGAGATAAAAAGAGAGAGCAACCCGCCACGGTGGCCGTATGAGGTTTGGTGAGTGATAACGACGGTTATGCAGCTGGGGTAAATTTATGGTCACCTATCCGATGACCAAGCTTTGCGATAGCTTTATAACTACTGCATCGCATTAAATTAAATTGTTTGTTTAAATTTTTCTGTGAAAATTTTACATTTTGACTTGTGTTCAATATACTTCAAAAAGTAACATTGCAACTATAAAAAATATAACTGGTATTCTTGCAAACTAGAAAGAAAATAGATGCATGAAGGTTATATATTTACCTGGTTGTAATGTAGATGAAGATTCCTCATGGCTAACGTTGCTAATCGCATGGCTCTAGCCGGTTGTCCCCTTTGCTCCATATATCGTGCGACCGCGAATAACTGACTGGATGCTAGTGCCCCCCTCGCGGCCGCCCCACCTACAGCAGCGCACGCCGCTTCGAAAGCCCCTGCTGATCCCTCGCATACGGATAAAGCGCTTAAAGCGCAACCGGGCGGGTCCTGTTGAAACATTGTTCTTTGATGTCAATGTATTTTGCATATAGACGATCACTCGATTTGTATATAAGGACTGAAATATTTAACTATTTAGCTTAATTTCATGTTGAATCAAGGTGAAAATTTGAAAGTTTCATTTCATGAATTTCACGTCGTATACTTTATTAGGAACATGACTTGGCCATGCCCAAATTGGTTTGAAATAAATTTAACGTTATTAGTACATGCATAGTATACGTGACAATTGATTTAAAAGATGTGTCTATAACATTTTAAGGTGGTTTAGAAAGATTCTATCTACAGTTCGTTAAAAAGATTCTAGTGTGGGTTAGGAAGATTCTAGGAAAAGCCAGGAAGGTGGGCAGGGTCCACGTAACCATTCTACTATGTCCTCTCGTTTACCTTAGCCGCGCACTGTAATGCTAGTGTCCTTGCGCAGGCACTGAGTTTCTCCTGCTGTTCAAACGTGAGTCCAAGCCGGAGAGCCGTCGCGTGTGACATGGCCGCCGCCGCCACAGGTCCGGTCGCTTCCGTCGGTGTGAATAGTTCGTACCTGTTGCGTAAAACATGAAATTGATGGACTCTCTATGAGATTTAGCGCCAATCCTAGTAACGTGTTTTCACAAGGTCAAAATCATGAATGATCATCTTTCTTATGTTAATGACAATGTTTATATAAACGAAAATAACTCTAACTTTACTAAAAGTTGCAACTTTAATTGAAATCGTTTTAGATACCTAGTTTACGTGTACGTTTAATCTCATTAAATGTGGAAGTCTAATAAAGAACAGAAATATCGTAATTATTTTCTTAGTCTTTCTGAGAAATTTTAAGAAATTTTAATCCAATTATGTCAGTTCGTGAAAATTCGTCAAGTTAGAAACATTTTACATACTTAATTGCAATCAATAACAATTTATGTAAAGAGTGTTTAAATCTATCATTACCTGTTATAAATGTATACTATATCCAATCATATACAATAAAGTTAAATGACTCACCAAACCCGAACAATATGGGTATGTAATTGTTCTATTTAATTATTTTAATATTATTATTTAGGTAACTATTCGAAATTTTTTCATATTTCTGTTTGTTAAAGTTTTTTTTGATTACACTTTAATTAAAACATCAGTGCGGATTGAGGCGCGTAATTGAGTTACATTTATAAGTATTCTGTTGTTTGAGTCGTACCAGTTCTGCATGATGGAGAGTAGGGCGTCGAGACCTAGTTCTGTGGCGCAGGTGACAAGCCAGCGGACCATCTCACGCCGCCTCCAGTTCACAGACGATAGTGTCATGCGTAACACCTTTAAACAAATCATGAGTATAAATGAGATAATCGTCACTTATTAGAATTGAGAGAAGTCTGAAATTTACTTTTGCGACAATTACAAGATTGGAAGTGGTGTAATCCCGAGACTGTATTTTTATTAAGTGTGTGTAGATCTAAACATTATTTTAATTCAATGATATCCTTCTCGACACTTTTTTCTTTTTCACAACACGGCGACTGCTTTCTGCCATATTGGATTAAGTAATATAGCGTCTTCATTGAGTAAAAATCGATTGACTTAAGAATAATTAAAACAGACTAGCGTGTTCCTAGACTACACATTCATAAAATAACAAACATCTACACACAGGTTGATAAACACGTTTCTCTCTTTTGTGTCGCGCAGTTCGGTAAAAAAGCCCAGTTATAGCAACCACTAGGCATATTATGATGTAAGATTAATTCATATTAATATTATTAATGCAAAAGTAGCTCTCTCTGTGTACATTTGTTACATTTTCACGCTTAAACCATTGAACCAATTTAAATGAAAATTTAACGCAAAGAATAGGTTCAGCTGGGGGGATAATAATAGAATTCCACGCGGGTGAAAAGCTTTATAGCGTGTGGTTTATTTAATTTAAAATTAAAAAACAAGTTTTTTTCTCCATACTGTTGTGTGGAACCTCTCTCGCTAGCTGACTACGAGCAGAATACATCCGTTATGGCGTGCCTTTGTTAAATTCTTAGAGGTTGTTTATGATTTCATGGATGAATTTTGTTTAAAATGTTTGTTTAAATCATATATGTTTAGCTTTGGGTCGTTATTGTTATATAAGTATATGAGACCTGTAAGCCAAGTTCGAACGCGGCAGCTAGCAGGTCGCGGTGGTGGTGCGGCGCGTCAGGCGGGGCGGCGTGCCGGAGCGCGTCCTGCGCTAACCGGAACAGTTGTGCCGCCGACCGCACGTGCCGCTGTGCCGCGCCTAGTGCCGCGCGTAGCCGTGCACCAGTGCCACGTGCCGCTCCTGGTACATCATATATGAACATGGCACCTGGGGCTGCAGTCTCGACAGAGTTCACTGATTAAGGTCTGCTTATCCGAAAACGAAATTTCGTATATTTTCGGTACGCCAATAAGACTCCAAAGAAACCCATTTTACGATAGTTCATGAACGCAGGTAGAACTTGATACTGCCTTTGATACACAGATAGTCTTTACAGATATAATTTTACCAAAATAATAAGAACGATTCGTTTTCCGAATTTTTGTTTGTGCACACACAAAGTAGGCCCTCAGATCCTAGATTAAGTAGTTAAACCACGAATATTATGGAAATCTGAACGGTAACGCAACACTACAGACCCGCGACAAATTAGAAAACTTCATTCTTAGGGTTCCGTACCCAAAGGGTGGGTATAAAACAGGACGTTATGCCTGACTGTCGTTATGTCTCTCACCAGACTGTATATCAGATGATGTATTTCTGTTGTCGCTATAACAATAATACTAAAAGCAGGATAATTAAATATTTAAGGGGGCTCCTATTCAAAAAAGATACCATTCGGAACCCGATTAGAATTTGGTTGGTTTTAAAGAAAGAAATAGTATAATTGTTACCTAATAGCGCGCTTGCGAGCGCCGCCTGCTGTTGTTCAGCGTGTTGGAGAGTGTGCCACGCGCCCGCACCGCCCGGCATCGTCGCCGGAGCACTACTGGCGCCATCTAGCGCGTACGCCTCCTCCACCATTGGTAACCTAAATAAATAAGAAAATATAATAAATACCAGTTCAAGTACCTAAAGCACTTGTATCATGGAACTCCGAAACAACGGAGCCCACCATTTCAGAAAAAAAACAACAATTTGCTATTGCGCCTGTCCTATTGCGATCCTCGTATTATATCCCTTACGGCGTATATATCACATTTCATCAAAAGCGTAGGCAAACAGAAAGAGCGCCACGAGATATGTTTTACGTACGTCTTTCGGATGACTTAACGTTTATTCGGTAACAAACGATCAATTTGATCGTGAAAGATATGTAAACTTTAGTTAGATCACCAATTTCGACTTTGATATCTCATGTGGCCAATGCCAAGAAGATATGGTTTAATGCTACCAATATGAAAACGGCAAATTTTAAAGTTGGCTTTAGGTTGGCAAAATATATCCAATCAAATGTCACTTGACGCGAATTGTTCTTTAACACAATTAATACAAAATAAAGTACCTCATCGCTCTCAATCCGACCCGGTACGCCAAGTCAGGATCGTGGGGTAGCAGGGTGAGGAACAGATACCGCGCGAACGTGTGCGCTGGTGCAGACCGTGGATGTACTCGCGTGCCCAAGCATGATGCCGGCCCGCCCTCGAGCAACGCACGAGCCGCGCGTGCGCATACACCCCACGCAGCCTCACCTTCTACTCGTTGAAGTTGCGCTATTAACCGCTCCTCCTGTATATGTTATACCAGAATTTAGTCTCTATTTCAAGTTTATTTTTTATTTTACTTTTGAAGGCATCTAGAACTTATGAAATAAAACAAATTACAGTTTATATTCATGACTAAAACAACTTTTATTTTATTGATTAATTAGTGATATCACCTGCTTGCAATACCGCTCTTGTGCGTAAAGTCCGCTCGGTAGCATCCTCTGCATACCGAGACCCAATAACGCTGCTTCCAGAGCCAAAGCAAGGTAAGTCTCTTCAGGATTTTTACTTCCAGCCACTGGTACGTGTTGATACCTTTAAAATCAAATCAGGATATGCATACATTTTGAGCAGGAATAATTCCGTCTATTTCTACATTGTTCAGGGTACATCAAGAGAAATTTAGTAGCAAAGGTGGTAAATGTTTTATTTACCTTGGTGGCAGACCAGTATTGGGCTCCTCATCCAAGTAGGCAGTGTGGAGTCGGGGCGAAGCTCTTTGATCATCTGGTGCTAGACATGCATCAGCTAAGCATTCGTAAACGCACCAGATCGCCTCAAGCGTCCAGCCTGTCCAACATCGGCTATCTGCAAAAAATATTAAATTAAGTAGAGTGTAGACTATAGCTGCATTAGGAGTATTTTTTGCAGACAACCCTATATCAATGTGTTCGTAATGAAACAGCGCTTATGTTGATATAATTTTTTTTTTATTATCAAATCAAGTGAAATTAACTAGCATCGATATACCTGTTTTATACCTGACAACCCAGTAGTTCGTCCAGGTAAATAATAGACAACCCAACGTCTGCACATTCTATATGTTTTATACTTTAAGTCAGAATTAAATATTTCTTATTATCTTGATGTTGCAACATTTAATAAAAAATATTTTTTAAAAAATAATTAAAAATATTCTGTCCAGGATTTTTTAAGCGAACCCATTTTTAATATACTAAATTAATTACATAATAAGTTTTATTCCATTATCAACCCGGTGAAGGTCGATTTAGGTTCGGATCTTAGACTATAGGTAATATGACGTATGTATGTCATATAATGCCCGCCTATGTAGGCGGGCATTATCGCTCGGTCATTTAAGAAAATTTTCGTTTGAGCATGTTTAAACGTTAAGCTGAAGGTAAAATGCTGCAATACAAACGAATCGGCAGTGGAGCCTCTGTCTGGCAAGTCAGATGGAATAGCTACTCAAGAGATTGTGGATGAAAAAATCCCGAAGTAAGGGAGCAAGTTGTGCTATGATTACATTTACTGCTCAGGATAAATCTGTTATTGATGTGCAAAAATTGCATGTACTAGATGATGTTGATACTGTTGTCCCGAATATAGCGGATCAGCTACTTGTCCACTTATTTGAAATAGCAAAATAATTGATTATATAATAAGTAGTGGCCCACTGCAAACTCACTGTCACAAAGTTACAACTATTACAAAAAGTTATAGATAACAATTATGTGACACCCTGTTAGGGTAAAATTGAATCTGTACTTACCTAATGATGTGATCCGTCAAAAATGAATCAGCTAATTATACGCTATTTATATGTCTACTTTTTAAATAAAACTAATGTCACTTTATAGTTGGAACAAGAACATCGTAGCGTTAAACGTTTGATTACTGTGTTTGTTTTTTTTTTTTAAATAATCGAAAAATTGTTTTAAGAGCGTCCACTTATGTCAAGCAAGAAGATAATTTTTGATTGTGTTCTTCTTCGTCAAAAAATTAAAAGAGATAGATCTAGGGAATCCCCGATTATAGAAAAACACATTGTTTCTGTATGGTCGGAAAGTCAGGGATTCCCGAGAAATTAAACCGATTGAACACTACTTTCCATTCTAATGCTGCCAACTTAACAATCTACCTAAATTTAGGGAAGATTACAAGTAAGTAGGCCGGGTCGGCGAAAAAAAGACAAGTAACTGATTTGTAGTATGTAGTAGTAACTGATTGTAATTGAATTGCAGTTAGAGGGCGCCGAAGAAATTTCGCCCAGGGCGCCAGTAGTGCTAAAACCGGCACTGAGTACGGACATATGTAAGAAAAATGTATACGTATATGCAGACGGAACCATGAATATTGTAATTAGATGCTATGTTTCGTTATATGCTTTCGTTGTATTTAGGATCATCTAAATCCTCTAAGAACCTACTGTACAGAATGATATGATATGATGAACCGAAAGATTTGATTGATTGTTAATGTTTTGATTTCATATACCGAACCTAATTTATGATATTACCACCAAAATCTCTAACCATTGAATACATCTTAGCGATATTATGATATTTATGTTATATATAAGTTAGGTTATTGCACCGCTGTTGCAACGAGATTAGGATATAAAAATACGAAAAGATAATCTGGCCGATCTGGATTGGCTGGAATAACTCTAATTATTCACAATTCAGAAGCTTCTTAACGGTAGAGTGTCATTTTTCGTCATTTCCGATTTCCATGATACTGGGACTTTCGGTACTTTCGGGGAGAATCTGAGCGATATACATATACTACCTGATCTCATCCTACTGATATAATAAATACGAACTTTTGTATGACTGTACGGATTTTGATGACATTTTATTTACGGATAATTCTCAGTCTGGATTCACATAAAGGCTACTTTTTCTCATCATTCTTCCTTTTTACCAATCCCATTCATCAGTTCCCTAGAGAACACGCGAGCGAAGCCGTTGGTGGAAATCTAGAAGATTATATATTTTAAAAATAATTGATAATTGGCTGTCTCACCCCGTCCGATGCATCGTTGTGAGTGAGAGAGAGCGCACGTGGCGCCGCTGGTGAGACAGACGCCGGCGTCCATGTGCGCGCACACGAGTGATAACTTCACTCGGTCCGCGCACGCGCCCGAGCACGACTCCGGCCCCGAGCACGTCGGGCTCGTGCTGTTACCGCCACCGCCGCCGCTAGACGAAGCCTCCCCCGCACCCACTTCGTGCCATCGATGTTGGGCTACTTCCTACGAAGGAAACAACATAAGTTGTTTATCCCATTGCAGAGACACACTATTTCCTTAAAAATGGAATCTAACTGGCCATAATGTACCACGTCGAGCTAGTGCGAGTTAGTGGGTGTTAACGAATGTATATACAGCCGGTTTGAACTACTTAACGAGCCTTTAGAAATGTGAAGGAACTGGAGATAGTATATTCTTGGACACCCATCCTATGACCGAGCCTTGAGAAAACAAACCAAATCTCCGCATTGCTAACCGTTTGGTTATAAATTACTAGCTCGAAGGACCAGAATGCAAGGACATTATAATAACATAGATAATATTCTATAATTGATTCGTCTTAGTACTACTGTACAAATTATATAATACTCGTACATCGATGCAATTGCGCATAGGTATAGCGCCAACGATCGTGCGACACTGCTTGCCTGACCTCGGCCGAATGTAGACGAACATTTAATAAGTTGAACTGTATTTTACACCTTATAAGTCTAAAAACAAGTTGTATTATAAGTTTTAATTATACTATATATAGATATTAGGTTTATTTATTAAGACGCTGAATAGTGCCAAATCGATAAAATTGATCTAGGATTGTACTAATCCACGGGAAACCTATGGCAATCCAAAAATTTGTGGTTATACTTGATCGTATTTCTGATCTTGTGGTTGAAACCGAAACATGATTGTATTAACTTCACTCGATAGAAAATAATTCCAAAGTAGCATCTAAAAATATTGCGAAAGGCACGTTTCTCAATTATGGTATACATTAGAGTAATGATATTGAGTACAAATATGTATCAAGGGTTGATATAAAAGTTGGTTATTCCCAATTTTTGATAATGTTATTATAATAATTAATAAAATTTATTTTGTGATATGGCACATATGGTCATTTTTTTCAAGCAACTTTAAAGTATTGACATTTCTGTCACTCCTACTGCAATTGACAGGGAAGGCTATAGAATAACGCACACTAACTTAGTTCACGCTGAGGCGTGTTGCTAGATGGACCTATGTTGCTTTGTGCAGCGTTCTGACGTACCGAGATCGCTAAAATTGTAAAAAAAAGAACATTTAAAATAAGTATTTTAATTTCGCTCTCGTTTTAACAATATCTTTGGTGTAATGTACTAGGGTAGGGACCCGAGTGTCTCGGAGTTGTAAGTTCTAATCCCACTAGAGCTCGAATTTTTTCAAGTCGTCTTTTATTATTTTATTCTAATTTTCATTTTTTTCTGCCATAATTTTAAAAAGCAACTTTTTTTTATTATTATTAAACAGTATAAAATGTGAAAATAAATATTTCTTTAGTATGACGTAGGCGAAAGTCAGACTGACATTTTCATACAAAAGCCCCGATATTGATGAAATAGTTCCAATAAAATACATGTTCGTGTTCCAATCCCATCAAAGAAGCATTTTTGTTTTACTTTTATCTTCTTTTCCCTAATATATTTTCCTCTCTCATTTTTTTATAGGTTAATCATTAATAATTTGTTAAAATAATTTTGAATATTATTTTATACAGTAATTAAGTATTATTTAATTATCTAATCTAGTTGATAAATTTAATTGCTGTAAAAATATATAACATAAAATTTGACAATAGGTAAATATTTCCATAAAAGTATGTGTTTGCAAAAGTTTGACATTTTCATGCAAAAACCATCCCGTAGACCGTTACTCTAGTAAAAAATAATTCCTAATCAATCATATTGTGTAAATAAAATAGTTCAATAAATAGGTATTACTTTATAAAACAGATATAAAAAAGGGATAAAACAGATATAAAAAAACTATTGAATGAATTTGAAAATTATGGTAACAATGTACTAAATAATAATGTACAGGTTTTTCACAAACTATACTAATGTTTGGTGTGGCGCAATGTCCTATGTGCTGGTCACTAGGTACTCATTCTGCCGCAGATCAAAACCAAGTTTCATGTTTTTTTTTTACCCAATATTTTTATTATGTGAAATATAATAGGTATTAAAAATTATTTATGTATTTATACTAAAATATAAATTATTATATTTAATAATTGTATAGATATTATTTTTGACATTTTCATGGAAAAACGACTGGATAAATTTCGCGGTAATTGATACAAAAATACCTCTAGATATCCTTTTTGGTTTGCAAACTATTGCAGTACGCAACAGGCGTAGCCATACAATTATTGATAATGAAAAACGAAGATTTTTCTGTAAGGTAAATGTACAGTGTTCCGGACTAGTACAATTTTAAACGATACTCAATAGACTATAGTTGTATTGCAACCAAAATAATACAATTTTAAGCATACTTGGTAATTTTGATAGTGGATTGGGTAGTTTCGATAGTGAAACGTAAAGCACGAATTTGCAGAATCATTGAAATTTGCTTTGAAATAAAGAAAGAAAGAAAGTTTATTGACCACACCTACATGAACACAATGATAATATATAAGAGAAGAAAAAAAAAAAATACAAATATAAAAAATAAAAAAGTAATAATATCTAGGCTGATTTTGAGTAATAAAATCGCATAATTATCTTAACATATCAAAATTAAAGGTCCAGTCTTTTTGTTTATTCATCATGTGACTTAAAAACATAACCCACCATTACGTGACGACACTTCGTTTGAATATTTTCTGAATCTGACATCTGTCAGTAGTTGTAAAAAAATAAATAAACAGCAGCCGATTTGACAGAAAAAGCAGATTCCGAGATAATACTGTTCTTACCTTATTTAATATTATTATTTTGTCGAGCTCGTTAGATAACACCGTTTTCGTTTGAATACCATCATATTTATTTTTTTTATATATAGGATCAAACAGTTATGCAAATTTATATGAACATAAAATTGAAACATTAATAAACACATAGTTCCCTGCATTACTTTTGTTAAATTGGTTGATTGTTAAAAATAATTTAATTTGTTTGTACATTACTGTTATTTAATTATTATTATTGATATTTCAATCTGTACATAACAGAATATCGTCATGAATATGGCAGACGGTGTTTTTATGGGTGTAAAAAAGTGGAATTATGATTTAATTTTAAGAAAAGAAAACGTTTTTAATTTTTTGGAATATTTTTGTTGTCGATTATAAACACTTACAAGTACCAATTTAGTACTTTTGCAATCAGAGTATAACACCCTATTATAAAAGCCATGACAAGTTTTCGAACGTGACTGATACGATCGCACCGCTATTTCGTAAGACGTCGTTCTTTGACATTCTTAAGATACTGATAAATTTATTGAAATAAAATTTGTGAAGTCGTTTTAGCCATTAATTGTTATCAACAGAAGGTTTTATAATTAGATAACTATATTTTTTTTTTAAATCTACTTTCCGCATCACGGACGCAAACCTGTGGCGTATGGTTACCGTAATATTTGAAAATCGCTCCAAAATGTTACTAAATTTTATTCCTGACTGAGGTTGGCATTAAAAAATTAGATGTGAATAATTCAGTAAATAAAAAAAAAATTATCCGATGTTATAGTATAACTAGTATCTTTGAGGACCACATTATATGTTCTGGACCTTTGACTTTTGAACTCTTAGCAGAATATATTGATCAGGCACAAATTTTTTTCTTAAGGTGTCGCTGGTCTGTTGTGGTTGTGCATCAAACGTTTAAGTTTCCAAAATTAATTATACCCCATATATTGCCCAGGTATTAACAAAATAAGTTTCATACAAATATACTCAGTAGTCCCGAAAATGAACGTGTACATACAGATAAACAGACGATATTTTTTAAATTCGTATTCTATTATTGTTTATTAACCACCCTCAATTTCTTTCTTTTTTTATAAATATATTCAATGTACAGACATTATTTTTTTGCAGATTTGTTATAAGTATAAAACGTGTAACAAAAATAACGCACATCCTTATACAACCCAATTAGAAAATGGATTTATAAATAAAATTAAACATTGTTTATGACACAGTTATACTTATTGCTGGGTAACGGTGTGGACATTTTACAAATCAACACAATGACGTGAAAATTACGGCTTTAGTATTTTTTAAGTTAAGGCAATAATTATGATTCTTATTTGTTATGAAAATCAGCTAGCATAGTCTTGCTATCATATATCCCATAATCCTTAGGCACTTCGATGTATTTATTAACTTAATGTTAGTATGTAGGGATTCTTACTTAATAAGGATTTGACTTAATAGGGATTCGATGGACAAAACAGTTTTTTCTCTATATTTCTAAATACAGCTACAGATTTTGTGCAAGAACATATTTTTTTATAAATCGAAGACAATTTTCTTTTAAAATAAAATACATTTTCCATGACAAAAACAATCTAAGCCAATGATAAGTTTATCTGTAAAAACTTTGGTGAATTTTCATTTTATAATTGCAGTATTATGATTGTTTCGAAGTTCATAAAAAGAGTGTTTTTGGATGACTTTGCCTTCCCTACAAGCTCTTTATCCTTAATGTACTATTTAAAATATGGATAGACTTTTAAGATATTGTTTTTGAATCAGTTCGCTTTCCAGTATCAAATAAAAAATGTCTGACGGCAACTTTGAAATCATCTATATTTATGGGATTAATAAAATGATTGTGTTTTAATGGTTTTATCCTAACCGGTCAACCAGTCCTATACTTTGATGATGCGTCAGTATTACAAAATATACACTTCCATAAAAGGATCATGGCTAGAGGAAAAAATAACTTTTCTTCAAGTTATGAAAACAGGATATGTTTTATTAACTCCAGTCCAAAGATCAGGTAGAGTCCAATTCTTAAAGCATTAATTATTTTTAAATGGGCCATGAAATGTTCGACAGCAAGACAATGGTAGAAACAGGCGCGTCTACCCTATATTCTCATAAAAACGATTCTAAAATTGCTTTTTTTCTCCTCCTCCGGCAAGTTCGATATAGATATGTATACTAACTACAATGACTTCCAATTAATATTGCATATGGTGAATATTCGTTTACGTAAAGCCGACCTACCAAAAATTCGTACAATTAAAATGTATAATGACTCTTCTTGTAATGAGAATAAGGTATCAAAGTCCGTCTCAGTCAAACTCGGCGGGGATTAGGTGCCATGACGTGATATTTGGTTTATTCTGATTGGCCGACATTATCAGGTACACACAGCAGCAAGTCAGGTTACTACAGTCTATCAAATTATCGCAATTATTTTAACTCTACCTTCACTACATTAAGGTTTAAAATCGAGTGAAGAAATGTAATGTGATGTGTGGTATCATAAGTGATTTTATATAGTTATTTCATATTTCTTTAAATTTTAAATCTTTTCATTATTCAATGCAAAGCATTTTTTAAAATATCAATGAATTAGAATAAAATTCTGAAATATGAAACAGGCAAAATAATAGCATGTTTTTTTGTCGACCCAAAAAGAAAAAACATACTTGTCCTTTCTAAGCCCCATAAAAATCTGGAGTAAAAAGAAATTATTCCTTTCCTTTAAAAAAATTCAGCGCCACCTATTGTGTAAGCACTTTAGACAGCTAACTCAAAGCACTTGATGGTTATAAAACGTCATTGTTATTAGTACAAAGTTTATCTGATGGCGCTTAACCGATAGGCATTTGTTATTCTTCTGAGGAACGTGCAATGAGCTAACCCACACTAGCGTAGACACCTGTAATTATGTAAGGGGGCGTGTCGATTTCTAAAAATCATTCAGTGTCCTCAGCCCCTTAACAAAGTAATTGATATATACCTGTCTATGACGCATTGCCCGCGCAGCGCTAACCGCTAGTCTTAAAGCGGCGGGTGCCCGTCCGTGAGCCCGTAGTGCTTCTATCCTAGCTCCTACTACCGGTAAATGCTCTATAAAACAAAACAATTCTGTGTTAAAAAAGATTAATAACCTAAGATAAAGCTTGCAACGGTTAAAATGATTCACTGTCTTTGATATAAGGCAGGGAGTAACAGACCGTACAGAATCGTATACATCCGATCGCATTTCCTTTTTCAGATAAAACCAAAGAGACATAGGTACGTGATTAATATCTGCCAAAAATCTTTTAAAGAATCTCAATTCAAAGATAATGGCTTTATTAGATTTAGCGGCAATAGCAAAGTGCGATTGTAATTGTTTAAATTGTGTATCGTCGTCTCCAATTTGAGAATGAGGGAATATAGCACATTTGTAGGACAGCCAAAATTTTCTAAGCCTTTGACATGGGTTACTTAAATATTTTTAGTACCTGGGACCTCATGTTGACGTCTTAATATAAATAGGCGCTGACTCACTTCAACAGCTGCGTTTTCATAGCCTTTAAGAGTATTAACTTAAGGTCCATATTTACCGTGCCACAGCGGCTGCCCAAGCTCATTAAACTTGGGGTAAGGCTGGGGTGTGACGGAACCAGAACTGGTAATTTTGTCCGGCTTCTCGGGATCGCAGTACTCGTCACTGCCAAGGATATTCTTCAAGTGTTCATTTTCCCAAGAAATGTCCACAGCGTCCAGCGCTCTGTGGATGTATGCATTAGTTAAGATTCCTTTTATCACAGAAATTGTATTTGAATTAGACTATCTATTATACTGAAAGTGGCTGTGAGCCTATTGGAGAAAATAACTGCTATAACGCGACTAAAGGGAAACTTTCTGGCTGGGTGTTAGCCTAGGGATAGCAGTTAAGCCGGTGCAACTTAAAAGTTGTATTTAGATTAAGTTGACTTAGAAATTTCGTTTGCGTGATGCAGATTTCTTACACCATTTCGTAAATCGTAATAAATAAACGCCCCGAGTGCAGGGATAAGTTTGACTTAACCACGATATTGAATGTCAGCTTTGACGTCAACTTAGAATTTTTTCTTACTTGTGAAATACCGTTCGAGGTGTCAGTTGTGTTGTAGGCCTTTGATTGTGTAGTCTTAATCTTTTGCTAGCTCTCCTATATTCACGTTCATAACTGAAAGTTAAAATAGGTGTTATTATAATAAAATTAATTTCTATTGGTGGTGATATTTTTGGAAATCATTTGGTGAAATGAAGGCTTACTTATTAGGTCTGGATTCCTCATCCGAACTTTCTGAATGGGAATTCATATCTCTTCTTTGTCTTTCTCTATGTCTTTCCCTGTAATAAATGTAAAGTTTATTAGGTCATTATTTACTTTACAAGGCATCATTAGGAACACTAAGACACGAGTGCTTTCATCATGTTTCAATTACCTGTCTCTTTCTTCCCTTTCTCGCAGTCTTTCTCTATCTCTCTCCTCTCTATCCCTGTGACGTTCTCTATCCCTGTCTCTGTGATCTCTGTCACGATCTCTTTCGCTTCTTTCCCTTTCTCTTGCGTACTGAAATAACAAAAGCAGTTTTTTTTTATCTAAAAGTCTGAATTTCTCTAGTTATATTTTAATTAATAATGTAAATTAAATTGGTTATTACATGGTTATCTTTGATCGATTGACTTACCAGTGGAAACGACCTATAATCAGGGTCTTCAGTTGGACAGACTTCTACTGCGGACCATTTCTCTAACAAATGCCTCCACTGTAGTCTGTGATGTTTATTACTACCTGGGTCCAGTACTATGCTAACCCACAATGCCCCCAACTGTTCCCATAGTTGCCTACACTTTTCAGTCATCGGCGTGTTCTGGTTCCTCCACAGGAGGAGCCTAGGATCTGATAAAAACTGCTCTGTCATCAACATCAACATTCTTGGACCGTTCGAGTCTTGTGCCCTGAGCATTTCTCGTACCTGTATGAGAAAAAGGAATTTGACATTTTCTTTTTTAAAGCAAATAATAGTTTATATAATGCCTAACATATAAAAAATCAGTAAACAAATGAAAGAAATCGGATTACCTTAGAAAATAAAGAGTTAAGCTGCTTATTTGCATTATAATAAGTTCCTTGTAGTAGGTATGCACGCACTTGTTCACAGACCTGAAAAAAATTAAACAACTATTAGAATTAAAATCGTGTACTGTAATATTATTCATATATTCTGAAAAACGTTGTCTGAAAAAGTTGCTGGCAAATTAAGATTGAGATTTGCTCAAGTCTTGGCCAGCAGATTTAATGGGGTTGGGGTCTCGTTTCAGGATCCCGCATTCTTGCCCGCCCTTAATGAGGGTCATTAAAAAAAAATGTTTGATTGTACTTGCCTGCTGCTCATCTAAGTGCCAAGCATGGTGTGCATCTAATATAAATTATATCTGCTGAGAAACATTGTTTGAAAAAGTTGCTGGCAAATTAAGATTGAGATTTGCTCAAGTCTTGGCCAGCAGATTTAATGGGGTTGGGTCTCGTTTCAAGATCCCTAATTCTTGCCCCGCCCCTAGTGAGGGTCATTAAAAAAAAATCTCTGATTGTACTTGCCTGCTGCTCATCTAAGTGCCAAACATGGTGTGCATCTAACATAAATTATATCTGCTGAGAAACATTGTTTGAAAAGGTTGCTGGAAAATTAAGATTGAGATTTGCTTAAGTCTTGGCCAGCAGATATAATGGGGTTGGGTCTCGTTTCAGGATCCCGGATTCTTGCCCGCCATTAATGAGGGTCATTAAAAAAATCTCTGATTGTACATGCCTGCTGCTCATCTAAGTGCCAAGCATGGTGTGCATCTGGCGGCGGTCCAGCTGTGGGGTCTGGCGCGCCACATATACGGTTGATAGCGGACCGCGCTTGCAACACCTCATCTGCCAATCGCTGAGCCGTTGGCAGCACTTCCGTATGGTGTTCCGCTATCAAATATTGCACGAACTTCTGCAGCTGCTGCCTGTCCATTTGTAATAAGGTCTCTGGAAATAATAATAAGTAATTAAATCTTTACATCAGAAATCAATACACATAATAGTATCATAAAAGAGATAGCCAATACATTACATAGTGTAGGCTACTAAACACTTTGCCAATACACAGTGGCTATACACAATTAATTAATTAAAGGTTGCCAATACACAGTGTTTCAATAAAATTTATTAATATACAGTGTTTTTCAACATGTTACCATTACAGTGTTTGAATAAAAGTTAACAAGTCATTGTATTTAGGCCAGTTATTATAAAGTGATTTTCAGTAGAAACAACTCTAATAACATTTTATGTTCATCAAATGTCTCATATTAACTGAACAAATAATTAACCAAAACTGACCTAAATTAACTTAGCTGTCTTTCTATAAGTGCACTAAAAGTTACAAAACGTTTAAAATTACAATAGGTCACAGAGGAGATAAGGTTTAATATTACAGGTAAAATAGAAACGGACATTGCTAATTAAATTCGCACAAACAGCAGAGTAAAAGGCTTGAAGAATAAAAAATAATTTTTCAATGCAGTTGCTCATAAAGCGCTATTTTTTTAATCCATTGTAAACACCGAAAGTGAGTCTTTAAACACGTGTTAAATAAAAATGTACTGAAATCCTTTACTGCACACGTGCTTAAAAGTATTTTTTTTTTGGCCGAGCACCAAATGAAATTTAAAAAAAATGATGAAAATATGTCAAACTTTAGAGGCAAAAGTATTTCAAGGAGCCTAGAACGAATATTTTCAAATAAAAATGTATGACACGAAAACATGTTCAAATATCACGTTTAATTTTAACAAATAATTTTTACCTTTAATACATACTTAGTTTTATTAACCTATATATTTGTTTTATTTCCTCGCAAAAAGCATTGAAAAATGTTGTAAGAAACTTGAGCGTAAAAGGTTTTTCGAATTCGTGCCAATGAAAACCCTCGCTACGCTCGTGTTTTCAATTTGGCCCTTATTCGTAAAACCTTACTTTCCGCACTCGTATCTTAAATATTATAACAATTTCATTAATGAATCAATGTATAAACTAGTATTATACCAACCTGATATAGGCACTCGTAATCGTACCGAATCTGCATTCCTGATTCGGTAAAGCGCTAGAGCGACAACATGCTGGCACCAGAATATGTCCCGCGCTTCGCAACTACATGTTACCCCTGTTATTTTACACCTGGAGACCAATAAGAAATATTCCTTATCATTGAAAGAAAATATGACAGTTAACAGATAAAAAGAAATAGTTCAGATGATTATATCTTGTCTAACTGCAAAAAATCTTATGTTAGTGATAGTGCTTTAAAAATTGCGGGAACTGGGTCACAGATCGTTACGATGCCCAGCACGATGCACTCAAGAAACAATTCCAGTAGTCGTTTTTCTCGAGTTGGGAGAGTGATATGGACGATATGAGCATGACAAACTCGAGAAACATTCATAATCTTAATGTCATTCTTTCTACTCATCTCTTATTATTCTTCTATAAATACATGTCCATGACTATCGCTAGTACGTGACGTAGACTATATTGTCAATATAATCTAGTTAATTTTCTCGATAAACCTATACCCAACTTCAGTTAAACAAATATCTGTTATACAAATGTAGAACTGATAATTGAATTACTTTAAAATAAATTTAAGCATTTACTGTTTGTCACTTGACATAATAAGTATTTTCCTTTACTGCAGTCATGTTAAAGGTACGGCCCATATGAGACCGGTCCGCGAATGCGATCATAATACATCATTGAAATAAAAACTAGTTTTTGAAGATTTTCGACTGCACTCGAAGCCTCTACGGCAGTAGAAAAATGCGCGCGCTTTATTTATACGTATACTAGTGGACGCCCGCGACTTCGTCCGCGTGGAAGTCGGTATCCCGTGGGAGTGAGAAGTTTTCCCAGTAAAAAGTACCCTATGTGTTATTCTGATGTATAACCTATATTGCTGTAAAGTTTTATCCAAATCCGTCCAGTAGTTTTTTCGTGAAAGAGTAACAAACATCCATACATCCATACTTACAAACTTTCGCCTTTATAATATTAATAGGATTCAAGAGAAGCGCAATCGTTGTAGATGAGCGAGAGTCTGTTAATTATTCACGTTTATCTAATAATAATAATTGGCTTTATTTTTTTTTATTTGAACTTAGCCCGTTTACACATTTTAAATCTAATATTTAAATTTTAGATATTTTTTTAGTTTGGGTTTGACACCCTGCCTCTCACACTGTGCAGTTACACAATCCGTAGTATAGCCAAGGTCCATTTATAGTTTCCCCACCTTATTTTTATTGGTCCTTCGAGCTGGATAAAAGACTAATAAACTCATTTAAACATTCTTGATCATCCGACTTTATAATCCCAAGCAAGGTAGAAATCATTTCTTATTCAATTAAGCTTTATAGTCAAAATTCTTTATGTATCACAAAAGTGTCAAAGTTCTTTTACACAAAGATCGTGGCCTTTCGAATATTTGAAGGGGCTTTTTTGTTCCAACAATATTTGTCTTTAAGGGCATTTTGTACCTGCTTTAGCTACTGATTTCTTTCAGGCAATAAGAAAGTTATTGTGATTAGATATTGCGGCAAATAACAAGGTTACTTTGTACTCAATAAAAAGTCAATGGCTATTCAATGGAAAAAATAGGTCTTTCTGTAATAAGAACTTTGCGAGCATGAAATTAAGGTGTAATTTATGATGACAAACGTTAACTGTATCAAAGAACATTGGATATTGGTAACGTTTCATGTCCATTGCAATAAAAACGGACCTCATTTTACAATCCGCGTTACTAATTTTAGTTTGTCGTTTTATTGCGTCCTTATTTCAGCATCTATAGAATTGTTATTGCAATAACAATATTCGAACCCATCTTTCTTTCTTTCTTTTTTCCTGATAATGTTAATAAGAGTAGAACTTACAACGTATTCTAAAATAGCTTAATCAATGCCAAAATTTATTGACGTAATTATGATAATTATATTTAGTCTGTTTTATTTTGCAAAATTATATAAGTATGGTGTCTAAACTTCTTCTTCATATACCTATCCTTATTGCACTCTATCCTTTACCATTATTGTAAGATTGACTTTGTCGTTAATATTAATTTATTTCTTAATATTACCAAGCCAGTTGATCCTCTTTCTTCCTCTTTTACCCTCCGGTCTTTCCCTCAATTATCAATTTTAAAATATTATATGTATTATTTTTTATGTGTGGCCTAAATTGCAATCTTTCTTTTAATATCTTTCGTCTAAAAGAAAACGTTTTCTAAATTTATTGCGGGATTGTTATCTAGTGTTTATAACTTTAATGCCCTCTTCAAGATGTCAAATTTCAAGAGGTGGCGTCAAAGGAAGCTTAAATCGGGGGTCTACTTATTTAGGACTCTTTATTTGTGTTAAAAACAATAATGTATTCTGGTATTCGTATGTGAGATATTTCTCTATAGTTTAATACTCAGAGTGATTTTTTAACAGGTATAAATATGTAGGCATTTGCCTATTTTTACATTTGTTACTAAGTCTTATAAATCTATCATGTAAAGCAGTTTAAAAGAAGTATTATCAAAGAATAGTGTGCGTGAAAATATAAGAACAAGTAGCGTCAACAATATTTTAAAAAATAGCAGGCATTTTCGAGTAGTAGCTTAGCAATAGAGTTAGCGATTTTTATTTATATAGAATAACGAGGTCTAATTTAAAAATCTTCAACTATTTGACATGCGATCGCAAAGTTTATTTGAAAGGTATTGAATGAACAATATCGTCAATATAATCGATTGTCTAAGGCAAGCTTTAGATCTAAAAATCTTAGAAAGTTATTAAGAAATGTCCAACCAAAAGGGTTGTACGCCAACTAGAACCCTTCGACGGGTTTAGCTAAGTTTTGATTGTTTCTTGATAATTAAAATCATCATTCATTCCTGAAGTGATTGTGACTTTAAAAATTACATATCAATTTCATAAATCACTATCACAATAGTCTTTGAAGGGGATTTCGATAGATGTTTAAATTAGTCAATTAACCCACTGGATGTACGAGTACTTATGTCCTATATATATATTGATAGTTTAATTACTTACCTGTCGAATGACACAGTCACCCTGTATAGTCTCTCGGGCTCTGAGCAAGGAGGGGCGGCTGCTGGGGCCCGAACCACACCGCTCAAGTGAAAACCTGAAAAGATTCACAAAGATTATCAATTTATCTTCATATCAACATATCAGTGAGTCAATCCGTGCAACTAATACTGATGACGACAAACAAAAATTGTTTTGCCCGTCAGGTCAAAATACGTATTTTTTTTTGTTTGTTGCGTAATCAATAAATTATATAACCTATACATTGAGTTGACGTCACGTTTTTGTAAATTTTCTACAAAAACTGTGACACGGCCAGCCCCCATTCCTCAACTTTAATGCTTATTATCTTAGCCATTTTAAATTGAAGCAAAAAAAAAAAAGTATCTAGAATTTTTCTATAATCTGACTGACGGACTAAATAGAACTGTTATTAAATCAAATTTAGTACTCCAAGGCTAAGTATACCCTGATGATATTTTCACTGAAGATTTTAATGCGTTGCAAGATGGTTAATTGCCACGCGTTCAAGTGTAGAATAGTGTATTTGTGTGCGGGCGGTACAGGGCAGAGGGCCAATTCTACTAAATAAATTTTGTGTAAATCGAATCGAAAACGGATCGAAACCGAATGAAACTACAGTTTTTAGTAGAATTGATCCCCAGGTCTTGCTGATACTTACTGGGTGTAGAAGTTGCTAGATATCATCATAGTTTCACAGTTATAGCCATGGACTTAAAATAACGCCTGATTCTATTACACTACGATGATAAGTTTCTAAATATAACTTCGTGACCACAAATTTAATCCACTTTATAAGCTAGTTTTGTTACATGGCTATTGTTTTATTACTTGATTACATAGGTCGTGCGAATCACTAAATATGTATTTAGTGATTCGCACGACTTTTTAGTATACTTTAATAAAATACTCTTCTTTCTTCTATTCTGTGCTCATGACCAAACAGTCTTAATAAAGCGATGGGAAAATAGGGGTTCTTTGGAAATAACAGTGGCTTAAGATTCTAACTCTGTTAAAGTTATGACTGAATCTGCTTATAAAAAGTTAAAAATATAACCGCAAGCCGACAGAATTTGTATACGATCGTCGAAGAAGGCGTCTGTGTTCTTCATTGTCGTAGTCAATAACATCAAATGCTTTAGAAAAATCGGTATAATTTTATTATAATAGTGCGTGAACATCAGATTTCAAAGTTGTATTAAACATTTAGTGGTGCTTATTTTTTAATACCTGTATATTTGGTTAAAGTAAATAAATAAAGAAATAAATAGAAAAAATAATATTAAATATTAATTTACTACTTTTTTTTTCTTTATTTCTTACAGTTTTTATATCTTAAGGTTTATATTAGATAAAGGAAAATGGCAGTAGGTATGTTTTTGTTAGTTTATATAAATGATTCTGATAGTATCTAATACTTATTAAAGATTACTAACTGAGTGCAAAAACTCCAGTGGATATTAAACATCCTCAGTAAAAACATAGCTAGTTGAAATACCAAACATTCTATTTTCGATTAACGACTTACGAGGCATTAACAATTTGTAAATAGCAGGCCCAGCGTGGTCAAGTTTACAAAATATGGTGCGGTAATTATAGACTTTGATAGCAAATATATTTCGCTTTGAAATTAATTGAACTTTCGCTTTAAAGCTTACGTATAAAAAAATATAACAAATATTTGAGAAGACTTATTAATAATACTCTACATAATACGCTGTTGCTCGTTGAATAGTTATAACTAATAAGAAGGTCTTGATAGAAACCTTTTGCGTAGAATACGCAGTATTCATACCATATCATGGCAGAATTCAGTAGCTCGATGAAAACAAAATGCAGTTCTCACGAACGGGAAATGGAAATAAGCATAAATGGTACATTTATACCATGGTTCGTGCGCATTCGATCACGCAAGCACAATGCATCGCACCCTATTTCTGTATTCGAATTACGAACGGTTAACGATTCGAATAATCGTCGGCCGAACGGAAACGCATCGAGTTCCAAATTCGATACAACATTCGTCAGGCTGTGCAATCGGAGCGGTTTGAGGAGGTCTTTTTATTTCAAAAACGATTACTTATTTTTTACCGCAAGGGTAAGTGAACACATCTGATGCAACGTTATTAAATCTTCAGATATATTAAACTTGTAGTATTTGCGAGCTAACTCTGTACAGTTTGATTCAAAGAAAAACTGTTGTTTAAACTCGATTCATGTCTCAATCAACATACCTATTGTATAGATTTTTACACATTTTTCATTATAGATTTTTTTTCGATTTATCACTAATTGCTAAAAGCATACAAATTCAATTGTTACAACATTAATTAAACATATCTATGCTTGCTTATTGAATATAACCATAAATAATACTGACACATTTAAGTTATAAAATCACGCAAGGCTTAACCCACGTGAACATGTCGTAACAGTGTGTGTTGCGCGTGGAAAATTCTGACACCGACCATTATTAAAAATGTTAATCTTCACAGAGAGCTTGCAATCGAAGAGGTAAAAATCCAATTAGTGATTATCAGCATGGCGAAGTTTTCAGATTTCTTATGCGAAACAATCAATTACTCAAATGTTTAGTACGAACGCTGCGGACCGATGCGAAATTGATAGAGCGACAAAAGAGCCAGTGTTCCCATTGTTGTGTACAAAAAATGAACGAATTTTAAAAGCAAGCGCTCCAATAGTACAGCGGTAATGATCAACCTTCATATTGTTAAGGGATAGGCGTTATGGAGTAAGATTTAGAATTTATTATTGTACGAAAAAAGTGATGAGGCCAACCGCGCATTAGCTCCACCATTGAGTTTGGGCACGGAGACAAAAACTAGCTGGCACTCGAGAAAAAGCATAGTAAGAAATATATTGAGAAAAACAAGTCGATGGCGGTGTTAGTACAGCTGCTAGCAGTATCATTTTTATTTTATCACAAATGCTGATCTTATCAACGTCTTGATAAGTAATATATACGTTGGGGGTTGATACAACATCAAAGGTGCAACAACATGAGCCAGATAAATATGTGATCTCAGGGAAGTGATAGAGACAGGTATAGCCAAGACCATGCACTTTGGAGCTCTGGATTTAGCTTATATATTCACGATTCTTTGGTTATAGTTACCTATACATACACTCTCTTGGGTACATCCCAAAGACGGCACATTTGGCATTGTTTTGGCTTAAAATCTTATCTCAAAACAAAAGTGACTGTTTGCCAGTTCGTTTTCTATAATAGTTTCCAAATTGCCTTGTTCACTGATGAGTTTTTACTATCTACATTACTAAGTAATCTCCTGTCTTAGCCTGTCTCTCCATTTCGCTCCAAAACAAGCACGCACTAGAAGAATTTCTAATTCGATGAATTATTTTTATAGTTTCACCTTAAGCCCATGGTTGGCTACCTAAATTTTTACACGCGCAAAATGTTAAAGCGTAAATCGTTTTAGATCCACACGAATGATATTCTGATAGAGGCATTGAAATATTACAAAACATGATTTGAAGGATAATTTTACACAAAATATCTATTACTAATATAATTCAAGTGTACGGTGGACTGATTTAGAAACGCGTATTTGGTACAAAAACTATTGAGGTATTTGTTGGTTGATAATTCTAATAAAATGTGACAAATCATTGGCACTGGGTGGTGATATTAAGCCATTTTATGGTTTGAACTTTATTAAACGTTCAAAATTATTAATAAAAGTAAAAGCATTTAATTGTATTGTCACATAATGATTAGGAATTTTCAGAAGATATTATGTTGTTTGTAACATTAGTGCGGTACAATAATAACATAAACGGTTATATGCAAATATTGTGTATCATTTATAAGTCTGGTATACAAAAAATCTGTAAGTGTGCAAAAACGAATTATTTCAAAAATTCCGCTGCTGATATTGATACAGTCTTGTAGAGATTTTCGGAATAATAAGTACCCACATCAGTACCTAACCTCGTGGGTAATATATTAAAAATAATAATATATTTAGATATATTCATATCAGTATCTCTCGTATATTGATTGGTTTCTACTTTTGCTGTGTACGACGTTCAAATAATAACCAGAACAAGCTTAAGTTTTCGTTGTGATACTATGAGTTCATTGAAGTAAAACAGATTTATCGTAGCAGAATAGGTTGATTTTTTACATTGTTAAAGTTTTTTAAACTTCGTCATTTGTTAAAGGTATAAGAGAAGCCATGTTAATTGTATAGGAGCTCGACGCTGCAGTAATCAGTGTTTTTGATTTAAGAATATGGAGCTTTTGCAACTTTCCCGTAAGTGTCGTATGGGTGATGAAACAATAGCAAATCGAGTTTCACCGTGATTCGAAGGACATTTAAGATTAAGGTCGCATTCGCATCTGTAGGGACTAAGACCCGATAATTACCATTAGGTCAACGAGGTGGGTTATGTACTAACCACTAAGTTTAATGGTAGCTCAATGTACAATTGGAAAATAATAGGAAATCTGAAAGAAGGATAGTGCCAGAACAACATATATACATATTCAACTCTATCTGAACTGAACTGAACAGTGGGTGGAACTCGTAAAGACACCTAACATACGCTAAATATAGTAAAATAAGATCAGTATGACCGTAAGTTGATGTAACCTAACCGGGTTACCAAGATTCAGGCCAATAGCGAGGTCAAGGCGGTCCATTGTGATTCAGCCATTACCCGGCTTCAATCGCTTGTAATTATGTAATTAACTATTTCTATATTGTATAAGTTGAACGTTTTTTTCCCAAAGCAATTTGAGATTCAGCATTAATTTTTTGCTGTCATGTATTATAGCCCCTTGTTATTAATGATAAAAGTGATGATAAATTGTTAAAGGAAGTATGGTCTAGGAAAAATATATACTGTGCCCATTGTATGTATAATCAGATTATTGTTTTTTTTTTGTTACAATCAGCAATAAAAATATATAGATAGAATAGAATTGTATACGAAAAACAAAAAAGAAGTCGATAAATTTTCGGTTAACATTCCTTACTCAAATCACAAGGGTAGAAGTGAAGGGCTCTAGTGATGTAATTTTGAAAATTC